GGGATCATTTTTTGTTTGATGCAAGTATGAGCGTACCGTATCTACCCTTTTTTTTTTAAATCTAAGACAAAATATGCATTCCCCACCGCGTTCAGGAATTGCTTAGCAACTCAGATTTTTATTTACCATTATTTAATTTTATAGAAAATACTGTAGATAAAATTTAGTTTACAATAGATTATTTTTGATATTGTAAATAATTAAATTGAAATAAGTCCAAACTTCCTTTTTTTAATTTGTCATACTTTTGTTTATTAATGATTCTTTAGGATTGCGTTAGGGCCGCACTTGCGTGTACCGTGCGTTCCATCTGCCTTCCGTTCTGTAATCTGAGATTGCGGGATTGTCAGAGCCGATAAGGTGCGATGCGACAGCATATAAAGGGCGTATTTACCCTAAAGCCCAAGAGGGCCATGGCGCGGGGCTAGAGGCTGCAAAGGGTGGCTGCGAGGGGCGACAAAAGACATATAAAGGTGTTCGATACTGACAAATAATCAAATCAAAATAAAGTTTGATTTGATTTACTAATTCTAGATGGAGGAGGCTGCAACTTGTAAGTAGCCAGAGCCTGGCCCTGGCGTCAGAGTTTAGGTTCTGACTCCTGCCCTGAACCTGTGAGGCCCTGGTAACTACTCACCAACAGAAAAGCAAGACCAAAAAAAGATAGCGTTATTTCATAATGGTCTTCTCTAACCACGTAGCAAACGCCTGTACTTACTTAATCAAAATGGAAAGTTGGCAATGGGGAATAGTCCAGTCGGAATAAACATGAGACCTATTCTAAGACACCAGCGCTTAGCCAATTTTTTCCTAGATAGTATAGACCCCCACGAATATGCCCTCCATTTGTCCCCGCTAGAACCCGTGTTTTGTAGCCAGGAAAATTGTTTAAACAAAAAAAAAACCGGTTTTTGAAGTTATACTTCTTTAGGCGCGTTATGAAAAAATGATGAGAGTGAAATTTTAAGATGCGCGCGCATCACTGTAACACAAAATTTTAACAGCATGAAGTTGGTCGCTTTAGCGACCAACTTCATGCGTTACTTTTGTGTTTACCGCACATTAAGAAAATCTACCAACAAAATAGAAATAGAATCTCTATTTAGTGGGTGCTAACGACTGCATTGTGAAGGCCTATCAAAAGTATTTATTAATCTGGAACAACGGAACCAAAGCGCGATTCAGGAGACTACAGCGCCATCTCTTGACCATTGGTGTAGTAGAACCAAAAACCACATCTTTATTTTTTGTAATAAAGTAACAGTTATAGGTATTCATATTTATAATATTTATCCACATGTTTCTAGTTTGTATATTCGGAATACGTGTTTGAGTTTCATACAAGTGCAAAACACATATGTTCTAATAAATTATATTCAGTAGCGAGTTTAATTGAATATTTTGATTATTTATTTATTTTTTCAAATTAAAACTGAACTTTATTGACTGTGTCCTTTTCCAGACTTTTTATTAATTTATTGTAATTAATTATTTGCATGCAATTAAAAACTAATTTTAAACGATGCCAAAGAAGGATAACTTCTCGCGCGCCTACATAAGTACACGCACCCATTTTTTTGAGTTTTTTTGCTTGTAAACGGGGATTTTGAAATTTTTTTTGAATCAAAGTTGTTCATTAGCTTGCCCTCTACAAAATCAGTTCTATGAAAAAATAACGTGAGATTGTTAGTTTAGCAGTAAATTGCAATTATGTCGGTTTTACGTTTGCAACAATTCAACATGTTATAATAAACATTTTGATTTCTAAAGTAGTTTATCATGTGGGTAACGCCACTCCCAAGAGAGTCATGTAAAATTTATCGACTAGTTGAGGAGAGAAAAATACATTAGATTAAAAAAAAAAAATCTACGTCAATTTAAAAAAAAAAATTAAATCGTCCAAAAACGAACATTTTTGACGTGACAACGTCTTAAATTAGGTTGCGGCTGGGAGTCACTTATGAAAAAGTGTAACGCTCGGTAACGTTACGATGAGTCTCTCGTGTTAAGTTTAAGTTTACATGTACAATGTTTTAGTAAACAAAATATATTTCTATAGTTAAAATTTGTGCAATTCTTATTTTCATTCAATTCCTTGTTCCTATTGTGCAATTTAATTATATTCATATCAATAAATATTCTACCGAGAAAAAGACGTTGTCACGTAAAATCTTTGCCCGTAAAACCGACTTTACAGGCAACCATTTTTTTATGAACGATTTTTTTCTACTCGATCGATTCCTCAAAATTCTTGGTGAATCGAATCACCTGAATTTTTTTTCCCGCTGTGCGCCTTCTGGGAAAGACGGGACAGGCAAGTACTTTTTTTTCGGAGATTGAGAATTGTTGCTAAAGTTTGCGACACAGGTCGATAAATTTTACATGACTCTCTTGGGAGTGGCGTTACCCACATGATAAACTACTTTAGAAATCAAAATGTTTATTATAACATGTTGAAATGTTGCAAACGTAAAACCGACATAATTGCAATTTACTGCTAAACTAACAATCTCACGTTATTTTTTCATAGAACTGATTTTGTAGAGGGCAAGCTAATGAACAACTTTGATTCAAAAAAATTTTCAAAATCCCCGTTTACAAGCAAAAAAACTCAAAAAAACCGTTTTTTTTTGTTTAAACAATTTTCCTGGCTACAAAACACGGGTTCTCGCGGGGACAAATGGAGGGCATATTCGTGGGGGTCTATACTACCTAGGAAAAAATTGGCTAAGCGCTGGTGTCTTAGAATAGAATTCGGTCCAAATTATGGCTATACCGACTGGACTAGAAGAAAACTGCCAATTATCATCGCCAGAGGCGCAGGTGTCGAATGGCCTACTTAATGTGCGACAACACAATGCAGGAGCTGCGGATGGCGGTAGCGCGGTTGTTTATTTGTATAACAGGCATATATTGTACGACAACGCACTGGCGTTCGCGTAACCGCGCGAGTAAGCGGACGCAGATATCAGGCGCGATCCACGCGGAAGCCGCGCGGACCCGCGTTTGCCGTTACGAGCCGACGTTCGAGTAACTAAATATACTGCTAGCGACAAACCATCTGCGCGATTTCCGCATGAGCATCCGAGCTTCCACGCGGCGGTATGTGTTAATTTGCTTTCATGTTTCTTTCCTATTGCCGCCATTTCATTTTGATCGCGCGCTTACTGGAACTAGAGGGCGCTGAAGTAATTACAGTTGGGCAACACACGAATGCTTCGTGGGCTAGAGATGGACTAGAAAAACTTCTGATGGCAATGAAAGAGCTTCTTGTGTAGAAGTGAATAGCTACTATACTGTATTCTTGAAAAAATTAAGTTTAAAAAACTAAAAACACGCTTTTACTTACTGCAATAAATAGTAAAAAAAAAAACAAAATATACTCTCTGTTTACTTCATTAGGGCTTTAGGTAGTAGTAGTAGTATGTAAGCCTTTTTTATAGTTGATTTTAAGAAAAAGCGTGGGGCGCTTTTCATTGTTATTTTACCGAATTAATTAATATATGACGTGATGCATAATATTCAACAATTCAGTTAAAATTTAATAATGAAGCGCTCCACGCTTTTTTTTCAGTTATATACAGGGCGTCCCACGACTACCTCACACGGAGGGAAAGTATATTAAATATTGAAGATAGGATATTTTACTGAAAGAGGACATCATTTTATTTTTAATAATAACTAAAACAGCATTCATTGCTTTTTTTAAAATCGCCTGACACGACATATTTTATGATAACCATCGCAAGAAAAAAATAATCCTTATGATTAACCCAATCATAAGGATTATTTTTTTCTAAATAACATAGCATTTTAAATTAAAAAAAAGTAGAGCAGGGCTCCGTAAAAAAATGCGAAAAAAATATTTGTAGTACGTAAAGTGTGATTTTTCGACAGGTATCTAATTAATGTTTGTTAATTTAATAAAAAAATTAAGCAAATTTTCAAAGTTCTAATACTTACTATAAACTGATTTAATATAAAATATTTGTGATATTCAAATGCATGGTCGGTTATACGTCGCCGTATAGCCGTCTCTTTTCCTCACGGTCCGTACACCTGCTATATTGCTAACGCATTCAGAATTTCGCGAAGAGTTAAAAAGTTATGGTCTATATTCTTCCGCAAATAGTAATGTCGTAAAAGTTTACGAGCTTGCATTTTGAACTGTCATAAGTCTTTGACGCATGCGTTTTAATTAAGCCCTTATATGGTATGCATTAAAGGTGACTCTCAATGTTTAAATAATGTCTTATCTTGAGCTCTGTGAATCATCATCACCTTTTGGACAGGTTTTGGTCACGATTTTGTTTGTGGTGTTGTATCTAGGGTATTTTAGTCGTTGTCTAAACACTCCAAGAAACATTTGAATATGCGTCATATCCACATTCTAATTTGAAAAAGGAAGATTAATACTAAAATCAGGGCTTGTGACCGGTTTAAAAAAATACCGGTAAATAAAGGTTAATATCGGTTTTTAGTAAAGGTTTCGTTCGGAGCGCGTCCGAAATGAAAGCGGTACCTAAAATCTTAATAAACCGGTTTACTCTCGAGCGACACGTGCACGCGTCGGCATCGCTTGAAGTTTGTTTTGTTTGAACTAATCAAGTCCACTTATTAATGCTCAGAGATTGATGCATTTATTGACACGTTTGCTAGCGTCAAATGAGTCAAGTTATTCATTTTGTAGTTGTGTACTGACAACTACTTCACTCGCTCGGTAATTGGAAAGAAACTGACATAAAATCATTATAAATTTGAATTGAAACGCCGAAGGTGATGTAGTAAGAGCGAAATGAAACCCTTTAAAAACCGCAAAATTGTTTCAAAACCGGTTTGATTTCGCTTTTTAGGAAAACCGGTTTTTTAAGGTTAAGTTAGAGCCAAACCTAAATAAAACGCTCCTAATGTACTTGATACTGATTTAGGTTTAAAAATTAACCGGTAAACAAGCCCTGACTAAAATAAGACGATGGCTGCATGCATGGCTTTGCCTTTGCCTTTACCAATAGGGAAGAATTGAACTAAAAGAAACTATACTTTACGGAAGTTATCTCGTGATTTGTGAAATCTACAAATTCTCAATAATGTTGTGGCGGCGACACCATTAAAATGCAAAAAGAGACACTATTTAATATTCTGTGAATGTACGGAAGTGTAAAATAAATGGGTTACAAATTGAGCTCTTCAAGATGCCTCGGTGTTTGTTTGGGCTTAACATTCATTATGGGTTGCTATTTAGCCTCGTTACCAATACAAAACGGTAAGAAATAGTAACATTTAAAACAAACTAAAATGAATTCATAAAAAAAATGTTATTTTTTCACAGAGAGAGCGGCATTACCTAAACCAATAAAGCATATAATTAGCTCGTTTTCGCCGGCAAAAAAACGCCTAGCTATAATCGTACCATTCAGAGATCGGTTCGACGAACTGTTGGAATTCGTTCCGCACATGTACAACTTCTTGAACAAGCAAAGAATACCCTTCCACATATTTGTTGTGCAGCAGAAAGACAACAATCGTTTCAACCGAGCGTCTCTCATCAATGTTGGATTTCTACATACAAGAAATGACTATGACTACATTGCGATGCATGATGTAGACTTGATGCCGATCAATGACAACTTGAGTTACAAGTATCCTGCCTCAGGACCTTACCATATCTCCTCACCGCAAACACATCCTAAATACCACTATGACACTTTCATCGGAGGGATTTTGTTAATCAACAAAGAGCATTATGAGCTTGTTGATGGCATGTCGAACAATTACTGGGGCTGGGGGTTGGAAGATGATGAGTTTTATGTGCGACTTAAAGATGCGGGATTGAAGGTAACAAGACCAACCAACATCACAACTGGACCAGATAATACATTCAAGTAAGTTACCACATCTTACCTCATATTGTGGTGTTTTTAAAGTGAAACAATACTGAGGGCCAGCAATTTTTTTTGTAAAAATCTTTTTACTATGCATTTTCTTACAAGGGGTTTATTAAGTATTTACTATTTAGCAATCAAATAAAAAAAAGGTGACTTAAATACAGTGCACATTATAAGCTCAGTGATCAAGCTTGTATAGCTTGTATTTGCCCATGCAAGTGTTTCTGTTTAACATAACAGCCACAATCACACTTAAATCGCTCTTTCATTTAATAAATGAGTACCAAAATTTGCTGATGCACTGAGTGGCTAAAACTCAAACAGAAGAGAAACAATAAAATAAAAAAGGACACAAATTCTGATATATTTACAAATCAAAATTGTGCCCTACAGCGCCCTTTTGCTGATTTTAATAAAAACATAACTTTTGTACCTTTTTGGAAAGCTTATTAAAGTGGTTACTCATTTTACTAATTTGTATGCCAATTTACATACAGTTACTTGCAATAATTTATGGCGAAGTTTGGAAAAAATACAAAAAATAAAACTATTGCATTGTTACTAGTCCTTTTATTTCTTAGATTGTGTAAGTTTTGGGCAAGCGTTTTTTTAAATGATCACTAATAAAATGAATGTTTAGATTCAATGTTTAGAATTGTTGGCTTTTGGCAGCAAGTCAGAAAAAATCTAAAAATTCAGTATTGATCTCTATTTCACTAGACTTAATTGGTTGCTAATGACCTCTAGTGTAACCCCTTTCAAGGAATAGGTTGAGTTTTCCTGCAACGCAGTATAAAGATGATGCATCTTAGACATGAATTTTGACAGATTGCAATAAAAACTCAAGTACAAGTTATGTCTTTAAGACATTGTTTCTGTGATAAATGTGTACAAGATACTACTGTTGATTAATAATTTCAAAGAACTAGATCTAAGGTGGTTATACTTATTTCATTTATTCACATTTGACATCCATTCTATTCTTGTGCACCCCAAACGGACCCGCTCTAAATGCTAAATTAATATTATAAAAGAGCTTTTCATTCACTTTTTAAAATATTTAAAAACAAATTTAAGTCATCTATCATCCTATATACCCTGGATCTATAATATCAACCTAATTATCTAGCATTATCAATTATTAATTCTTTCTCACTTTAGAAAGACAAGTAGATTATGAAAAACTAGTATAAAACTATGATAAACATTAAGCTTATCATAATCCTAGACTTATCACAATCATTGCCATTGCTAAAGCCATATTTCTGGAATTTGAATTGGATATCTTTATATCATGGTGGTTAACTATTTCAAATTTAATATTTTAATTTATTGGTGTTTCATTATCTGGCATTAAATAGTTATTTATTATACAAGAGTGGAAAGTTCCTTTTTAACCGCGTGCTCGATTTGGATGACCGAGCAAGCGAAGGATTCTAAAGTTGAATCACGAGCGCAGCGAGTGATTCTAAATTAGAATCCTGAGCGTCAGCGAGGGAAACAAACGAGCACAAGGTGAAAAATCTTTCCACTCGAGTGCAATACGTAACTTTTCATCCCACCTCAGCGAGGAAATGACAAAATGAAAAAGAAAACAATTTATAATGACAAAATATTTAAGCAATAAAACGTGAAAAACTAGAATGGCGCGAAGCACGCAAATAAAACAAAGAAACCAAGAAGGTTCCAAATTTAAATTTTTTCACAATTTAAAAAGTTCTAATCATAAATTTGGCACCATAGAGGTTACATTAAATAGGTTTAATGACGTTTTGAATTTACAATTATATTGAGTACTCATTATATGTGATGTTCTAAATTCAAATCTACTTTGCCGCTCAAGCGAATAAAATAGAATTTTCCAGCCAGATTTCGAAGCGCAAAATTACACTTTCCGAGGTGGTGGGATGAAAATGTTTTTTTTTTTGCTATATCAGAAATCCCCCTGATAGTAATCAATACATTAGGCACCTATCATCATCATCATCATCATCATCAGCCTATTAATGTCCCCACTGCTGGGGCACAGGCCTTCCCTATGGATGGAATAGGGAGATTGGGCCATGACCCACCACGAGGGCCCAGTGCGGATTGGTGGGTGCTAACGACTGCAGATGCAACCGGGACCAACGGCTTAACTTGCCTTCCGAAGCACGGAGGAGCTCGAGATAGTAGATTTTTGGTCACCCATCCAATGACCGACCACAGGGAAAGTTGCTTAACTTCAACGATCGCAGCCGAACGCGCTAACCAGTTGCGCCATCGAGCTCCTCCAGGCATTAGGCACCTATATTTTTATTTAAATATAATATAACAATTTAAGACACACATTACAGTTCAGACTATACTCTAAACTTTTCCAGTTGATTTTCGACATTAATAGGTGACCATTGGTAAAAATGTTTGAATTCTTTAGGTTTGTTTTTTTTAATCTCATTACTGAGATGATGATGGAAATCATTAAATTCCAGCAACTTATTTGCATCTGTATAGAGACCTCTGTAGTAGTAAAAAAAAAGTAAGTAGTGGCAAGCTTTTAAATCTTTGATTGCTGTATAAAAGACAAAAAGACAGTAAAACCAACATAGAAATAGTTAATAATTCAAACCAGGAAGTTTTTTACCAATATTAATATTTGTTCGCGCCCGTATAAACCCCACATGTATATATATCTCTTATATATCTCGTGTCACAATGTTAGTTACCATACTCCTCCGAAACAACCTGACTGATTGTTATGAAAATTTATATGCATATTCTGTGGGTCTGAGAATTGGCTACTATCTATTTTTCTGGGTCAGCTAATATATATATATATATAGAAGAAAAGGAATAATACAAAATCATAGCAAAGGATTGCACTTATTCAACGGGTAGCGCCATCTATTGAATTCGATTCGAGCTCACAGATGTCGCTCGTGTACTTATATTCAGCTGTTTTACCAACCATAAAGTTATGTCTTGCAAAATATCTCTTCTTAAAAAAAACTGTTAATTGTAAATTGTATCCATCGATAACATAAAGGGAAATTACGAAAACCACCGAGTTTTTATTTGAAGAAGACTCCAATCTATGCCCAAACAATATCATTACAATATTGATTTATTCAACATAATAAATTAACTTTTATTTAATAATTTCTTGCATCATGCACATTATGAGTCTTCTTATGTTATGGCCACTTAACCCGAAAGGTATGTGAAACCTAAAACATAAAATTTTGTTTTAACTCTTTCAAAATTTCCGCTTTTCAGGCATATTCACGACAAGACGTACCGCAGGCGTGATATGCGCAAATGCTACAATCAACGCGAGGTGACGCGCCGCAGAGACCGTGTGACCGGCTTACACAATGTCTTGTACAAGTTGTGGAGCACTCACAACGTTACTATCGACCAGCTGGCCATAACCGTACTCAATGTGGAATTATTATGCAATAAGACTGCTACACCTTGGTGTCAGTGCCCAGAACCCATGAAACCTAAGCCTAGTTTGAAGCAGACTTGAGTGCCTTTGTTAAAAGTAAAGAAATGGTAATGTGTAGTATCTGGAGATATCCTAGAGGTTGTCATATGGCAATTTCAGTATAGTAAAATTTATACTGTTCAAATTGACCATTTGATTTTATAGCAGTTAAGTATCTGTATATGGTGATTTGGCCTGTATTGTTCTGTAAGGCCGGGACTCCACCAAAGCAAAGATGTGTGCAGTGTGCTATGCAAGAAGAGATGTTTTTCAGCTCAGGTGTGAGGAGTTGAGTGCTGAAGTGAGTTGCTGGCAGGTGAGAGGAGGGAGGGTGACACCCCTCACATTTCTCGTCTCCACTGCGCGTCGCGTCGTCCGCGCACAGATCACATCTCCGCTTCCATCGCGCCATACAAATATTACACATCTCCGCACAGCGATCTCTACTAAAGCTGAGCGGAGAGGAGATTCAATAACACAGTTCTATTGGTTGTTTAAAAAACATCTCCACTCTGCTCGTCTCATCTCCGCTTTGGAGAACTCCCGGCCTGAATCAGGAGGGCCTGTAAATTATTTTATTTCCAGGATACCTCCGTCATGATAATTTCCTAAATATTTACAGTGTTATGACATTCTACCTTTCAATCCCACAGGCAACTGTTAAATTGTTTCATCTGTTCTCTTCTTATCATTTAAATTTATAATAACAAAAAAAACTTACCTACCTGTGGTAATAGGTTATACTATTTGTGACATTGTTGCTCGACAGCCGATGCTCATTGGTTACCCACTACTGGGGTACAAACCTTCCCTATGGCTTGAATATCATCACAACGCAGGCTCAGTGTGCCTTGGTGGGTGCTTGCAGATGCAGGACCAAATCCTGCCTTTCGAAAGAAGAGCGACTCTAGATAATCCTTGGTTACCTATCGTATAAATTACGAAATTTGCTTAACTTTACTCCCGCAAACCGAACACGCTGAGCACTGCGCCATCGAACTCCTCGTAATTAGTTACGCTTTACCTTGAATATGAATCAAGATTATTTTTAAAATTTTGTAATTTTATTCAGTTTATGCCAGGGATGGGCAAACTACGATCCGCGGGCCATCACCGGCCCTTGAATGGTGAAATACGGCCATCAAACATAAATAAATGAAAGGTTAGTTACCTTCCTTTTCACCAAAAGGTAACAACTTTCGACAAGGACCACCATGCTACCGAAACTTACCGATTTACTTCGGAAATCGTAAGTGGACCGCGATAGATTCTAATAGTAAATATTGGCACGATAAGGGAAAATTTTGGCCAATCCTGGATTATGCTCAATAGCATAATCCAGGATTGGCCAAAATTTAAGACACACATTACTAAAATTCAATAAATAAAATACTTTTTTCCATATGTTTTTAAGTAATGTTAAGGATCTGAAAATTTCAACTGTCTATCTATGAGATACAGCCTGATTACAGACAGACAGCGAAGTCGTGGAGTAATAGGGTCCCATTTTTATCCTTTGGGTACAGAACCCTAAAGAGAAATAAAGATTTCACTTTCCATTTAATGTGGAACCCCAAAAAGAAGTAAAAGTACTTTCCAGTTAATGTAATTTTTTAATAATATTTAAGTTGGTGATTATGAACCACACTAGATTCTCTGTTATATTATAATCTTCTACTACTCATGTGTCATTTATTTTGTTTCTTAAATGTTTTAAATATTAAATCCCAAAATTGTAATTAATTAGATTAAGGCATAACATGACAAGACTGTAGCGTAATAATAAACATATATTAAGCCCAGTTTTTTTAAATTTAAAATTGTGGGCCCACCTTTGAGCAAAATTATTTTGTTATCATTTGTAGAGGCCACATAAACGACAAACTTTTTACATTATTTATTGAAAAGAAAATAAGGCTGTTTTCTTTTTATGTATTGCACCCTCAGTTCGAATATCATTTTTGTTCAACATCGATCGCCGCATCTTGGAGATATCCGAGAATGAAAATGAAAAAATATACTGACGAAATGAAAACCCTTTTTTAAGTCGGTTAAAAAAGAAGAAAGTTTTGTCAAAGTCACATGTTGTCTCATTCTATTGCTATTGCAAAGACAGTGACAGTATGTCTTTGCAATAGCAATAGAATGAGACAACATGTGACTTTGACAAGTATAAAATTTAATTGACGTCTATGAGTGCGACCGGTTAATTTTGTAAATATTGTACCTAATGTAACTGTAAATTTTACATATATAATATGTATTTTTTTGTTTAAATGGCTCAAATATGTGAATAATCAATTTTGTTTTAGAAATTAAAGTCACATTCGTTAAATCACTTAGATACACTTGACAAATAAACCGAACTACCCGTTAGAAACATCATGAAATGCACTTTCTGTAGGTATATCTTATCTGATCTTTGATAATTGTATTTTTTTACTTGTTGACAAAATCAGAGTTTAATTACATTTGAGATTGCTTTTACGTATTATTGGTACATTAGTATTAGAATTTCAATAAAAAAATCTGCTCTCTCTACTACTTCTTAGTCTTAAGTGCCATGTTATGAATTTACTTCAAACTTATTTACATTCTGGAATGTTTTAATCGAATTCTCAAAACCAGTGTAATCATATAAAACCCAATTGTAAATGTATGGCTAAGGGCAAAACAGGCTTAGTCCATTATTTCTTAAAGATTTTTTGGAATCTATGGTCACAAAAATACTTATTCCATCTTATGGATATCACAAAAAAGGGTGAAACTAGCTGTCTTATTTATTTTTACCTACGTGGGTGCGTATTTAAGTTCGCGGAATGGGAGTGTAGATGATATTATTATATTATTATTATATATTATGTTATTATCGGGGTGGTCACGACTTCGGCCACTCAATATTAGTATAAATACCAGGTTTTATCTTAATTGAGGCATTAGTGTTTGAACTATCACCAAGCAAACAACTCAATCGGTAAGAAAGTGTGCATTATGGTAAAAATCGAGAACCGTGTCGTAATAAAGTTGCTTACCAAGCAAGGAAAGTCGGTTCAAAACATACTGCAAGAGGTGGAATCGGTTTACGGGGATTCTTGCCCGGATAAAACTATGGTTAAAAAATTGCACAGTCTCTTTAAACAAGGCAGGACTTCACTTGAAGACGACCCGCGGCCCGGTCGGACGATCGAGGCGACTACTCCGGAAATCATTCAAAAAGCAAAAGAAACAGCTTGCAGAAATGGTTGGCCTCTATTCCGCGAACTTAAAAACGTCCCCTCGTATTTCTTCCTAGTCTGTTGATGTGTTTTAATGAAATATCAGTATTTTTTTGTTATTGTGCAATTTTTATTCAGAGAATTATTAGATGTACTTGTAGTATAATATTTAATTTACTTTTAAAATCAACTGCTTGTATATGAGCAGATTTTGAGTCAGTCATAAAATACTGCCGTAACTTTAATTGCTTGTACTGTACCCCTAGCACGAACCAAAATCGAATTCGTAACGTTTGCGAGTCCGAAATGTCATTGTCAAATGTGTACTGATTTTTAGTTCCCGTTACGTCCAAAGTGGTGCTGCTGTTCAAGTTTCCATACAAAATTTGACATTGACATTTCGGCTTGCAAACTATTCGAATTCTAAATTGGTTCGTACTAGGGGTACTTTAATTTTTTTCTGTGACAGCTTGTTTTTCCCCTTAGGCCTTCACTTGATATCCTTTATGTGTTCCGTATAAGGTCTTTGTTACCTTGACAATAATTTTAACGTCAATTTTATAATATTTGTTAAGTATCCAGGTTATCGCCCTCATTCTGAAATGAAGATATAGTAGATATATATCATTACATGGTCTTCATAGTTAAGTGTATAGAGGAGAATAATAACAGAATTAGCCTCTTTGACTATTTTTTGGTGTATTATGTAATTTTGAAGGGTTGTTATCAAATGAAATATATAATAAATAAATAAATCGTTTATTAAGCATAAGGTTTTGACTTATTTCAATAACATCCATAAAAGACAAATAACCGAAGCACATACATAATTAGCATTTTTTTCATATGTAAATATCTTTAATATTTTTCAAGGCAAAGATCGATAGATATTAGCTGTTGACATTGAACTGGTGTGTTTTACTTAAATTATTGACGAATTAGGTATTTATAACCGCAAAAAAATACAATTAAATTTAGTTTTTAAAAGACAGGCATTTTTATGTGTCTATGAATAATGGTCAACAAAATTCTATTATTAAGGATTTCTAGCCGTTTCGAGGAAGCCCTATTCCTCCTACTAGTAGGACAATTAAATGATAAATTTCCATGTTGCCTTATGTCAAGTTCGAAGTAAGTATAATAGGTGTAAATAAATTTAAAGAATGTTTTTACTACAAAATAAATAGTGTGCACGGATCACAAATCTGAAGTGAAACTTCTTTTCTTAATTAACCTAACATTAGGCGGTGCATAAGGCATAGGCGAATGGAGCAGCGCACGCATCACTCATAATAATATATGTTTATATATATATATAAATATCGCGTGTGACGCTCGTGATGTTCGTAGGGTTTCAGCCTGCGCCGAGTTACCCTCCAACTTTGCTCGTCCCACACAAACATATAAGTATATATATGTGTGTGTGTGTGGGCTAATGACTCATTTCCGTTTCATCTTTTCCTTAGGATTTTTCTATTTACACTCCGTTTGAAATGAAGTTCCACGACTCGGCAAAGTTTCAGGCAGGACTCAAACCTGCATCTTCCGCTGTCCGGGTGGTGGGAGAAAACGTATTTCGAGTCTGAAACCTTAACAGATTTGATTTTATTGTAGTAAAAATCTTCTGTTGAATTAGATTGTCTTTTTTATAAATTTAGCTTTGCTGACGCAGGACTACTAGAAATAGGGCTTTCTCCGTGGTCCCACTAGTAGGACCACGAGGAAACGGCTGGATTTCTTTTTTTACACTTGCTGAGAAGTGTCTGGTAGCCTATTTGAAAATTAATGTTAGCCACTTTTTATCTGTCAGATAGTGTTAAGGGGGTGATCCATTTGCAAACCGGGGAGCCAATAGTTCTAATCGTTGGCCCCCAGCTCGTTTGCTTTCGTTGGTGTTCCATTGGAGCAAGACAGTCTTCACTCATCATTGGCCAAGTCATGGCGTGGTCCCAGACGGAGTTACTTGAGTATGATGGTACATAAAGAGAAAAATCAAAACTAACCGGCTTAACTGATCCAATTAGAATTTTAAGCATTCACAAAAAGGCAGCGAGTAAATCCGCCCATTTTTAAGTGCTCTTCAGTTAGTTGGTTTTGTTCGTAAATGGATCACCGCCTTTATAGGACAGATAACTTACTATCAGGAACTGGCTGAAATTCAATGAAACAATCACAACACTTCATTTGATTAATTAAATGCAAAATAACTATTTCAGTTAACTTTGCAAACAGCAGATTATTTCAATTCAATTCTAAAACCTGCGTCAGATATAGTTATAATAAATTAATTTAATTGCATTTATTTCAATGCATAAAGAATAATACCTAGTAAGTTTTTAAAACTAATGTTTTAGCATTAAAGTTGTATTTGATAAAGAAATTGTTTCATAAAATCTAACAGTCTAACTGACATGTGAAAACCAAATTAAATTTAAGTTCCTAATGGATACACAACATATATTTTAAATTCAAACAAAACAAAAATAAATTAAGAAGTTTGACTACCGTATCACATATTGGATTAAGTAATAAAAACTTTCTATACCTTAACTTATGAAACACGTTAAAACAAAATAAAATAAATGTTTAATTGATAAATAAGTATAAATCTTGTGACGAGATATAGTTCTACATGACTATCATATATATTTTAATATTGCCAAGATGAAATCTGATAATATTGTTTATTCTAAGGTCAGTGGAACATCTAGATCTAAATGCTTGCTATCACAAATGCGTAAACTAAATTCAACAATAAATGGCATGCTTACATCAAAACGTCACATGCTTACTTAGAGGCTAACGCGCTGTCTCCCAAAACAAAAAGCTTTTATTTTACTTAATTAACATATTTCTACAGTTTCCTTAGTCCATTCAATACTTCAACAACTTTGCCAATGCCCAAGTAAAAGTATGTTGCAAAAAACTTAACTGAAATTTTCAAATCATCATAGATTATGTTTTTATTTATTTTTAATCATGTATCTCCATTACAAATCTATACATTTCCAAAAGAGATGTTTCATTTTGGGACTTGTCTATGTACACATTCCTAAAAAATAGGATAAACAATAAGCATTCCCACAAATATAATAATAATTGGTTTACTTAATACCTAGTTTTTTGGGTTATATTAGTAATGGAAACATAGTAAGTTCTAAAATGTAATGTGTTAAAAAACTAAAGCATACTCAAAAAGTCTGAACAAACTATAGTACAGTATAGTATTAGGCAAAAGAGTTTCTAGAAAGATTTTGTTGAGTACTGGGCTGTTATTGTATTTCTGAACGGTGGACACATGACTGACAATAACATTTAGATTTGATATACTTCGGACTGACGTTGATACTAACACACTACAAACTATGTTTGCTATTGTAGATTTTGAATATCTTAATTAGTTTAAAAAAAATCTGTATTGCAAAGTAAATCAAAATATGGAAATTTTAATGGTTGGAGTCGCCTATGTTCTTGATTTCTTTTATTTGTATATTGTGTACAAGACCTAGCCAAAGTCCCGTACAAATATGAAACGTCTCCTTTGTGTTGTTATGTGATGAATAAGTTCAATACAAGAACGCAGTTATTTATAATATACAGATTTTTTTCTCTATTCTCCGACACTTTCGTTTATAATAAGCAAATGGACAAACACAAGTATTATTTAATGTCTGAAATTTAAAATCAGAATTATATTATAACTTACATGAAATTAGAAAACCATATGAAAATATTATATTTCAACATTAACATGTTTACAATTTGAGCAATAGTAATTAATAATAACAAAAAAAAAACTAAAACAACCCAATAAAACAAAAGAATATCTTGAAACAAATTAAATTGTCATGAAATTATAAACTGCACAAAGACATTGTGATTTCATATAACCATTGAAGTGGCAGTGAAAAAAAAATATATGCCCACTATAACTACACATCTATCATATCAAGACTCTTCATTTCACCAAAAACTCCCACAAAAATATATCCCAACTTTTGATAAGTATAATCACTAAAATCGAATGCAACTTAGAACAGTAATTTTAAAAAATAAATTGAATATAAACTCTACTTTAAGTGAGCACACAAATGTATTAAGTACCATAATTTAACACATGAAATACGAAAAGCAAACTACGATACATAATAAGGTAAAAGAAATACATGCTTGCTAAGAAATAATGTAAACAAATGTTTTTCAATAACATTGATCAAAATAAAAAGTTTTCTTAACATACTTCTTTGACTATTGACCACGATTAGAAAATACAAAAACAAATGTGTATAAAAATAATAGTCTACGGGTTACAACTTAAAATAACAAACATAATAACATAATATTTTGAATTTAAAAATTATAATATATAATAGAAAAATACCCGTAAAAGATCGTGATCCAATAATCATACCATTAAAAAGATTACTAGTACTTACTATTATCATTACCATAAAAATACTCCTTATTTCTTCTTTCGTGATAACCAGAAAAGACTTTAACAAGCCATAAAACAAGATTAGTAGGTACTTTAAAAGAAGATTTCCTCAAATCATATGATTGTGACGCAAAACTGAGTTTGAAACCAAAGAATTGAATGCAATGAATTTGAGGATATTCTAAGGACAGCGTGTTAAATATAAATCACGAGTACCCATACAGCGATGAAGGCAGGGAAAGAACATCTTAAACAGGGAAGGTTTGTCTATACCTAAACCTTTAGGAGTCTGAAGTGACAATGCATATTAATAGTAAGTTTACGCCTTGGACGAAGGATATCTCTCTACGCCATGCTATGCTGTGGCTATGGTATAGTTAATCTAACCAATGCTATTATTGGTACCACGCCGCATTGAACTTAAGAAAAAATAAAATTTAATTAATAATAATATTAAAAACAAGTCAAGAAAGAGAAATAAGAAGTATAGATGTATTAAAAACCCTTTGCCATCAATTCATCAATCAAATTATTTAAACAGCTCCTCCGGTCGAAGATGTAGAAATTTTGACTGCGTTTTATTGCAGATAAAAAAGTCATGGTAGAGGTATAACTAATAGATAACATAAGTTAAACATTTTGGGTTATGTGGAAACTCGTTTGGTTCAAAGAAACTCATCCAATGTATCTAATTTATCTGATCGCATAGTGTGTGAAGTAGTTAGGTTAGGTTGGGTTAGACTAACTTAACCACTTATGATTACAATTTATCTTCTATATATTTTATTGATATCATCAAAAGTGTTTTAGTTATTTATTGTTGCCGACTTTAGTATGTAACTTTGATTGATAAGAGAACCACCTTCTAACAAAGCGGGGTTAGTTTGATCCGATCGAGCTTCCACTACTAAGCCAACTCACGGGAAGAATGCTTACGATGGAAGGTAACTTCGAGTTTTTATATATTATAACATTGATACCACTCTCTGTCTTGTATAAAATATGAAAAGAGGGAGGGAAAAAACAGCACTTGTCTAATGTTCCCAGTACATAGAATTTGCAAATGTTGGCTAAGCTATTTAAGTTAAACAATTGCTTGGAACAGTCTAACTTGTTAAGCTTTGCCCCCTATTTACGCAGTGTTGTCTCTGTTAATTGAATAACAAATTCCATTCGAGTAATATGAAAGAGACACTACCACTTACTAGTCTTAATCTAATCTAGGTTCAACGCATGATGTCTATAAACATTCCATCCATTAGTTGGTTGAATCTAACAGCCCGGCCGTACTCAGAGACCTCAAATAAACCTAAAGTTATTTATTGTCTTACTCTAGAAGCAAAAGGAAATTGCATAAACAATATTAATCAGACTTTAAAGTTGATTGAAGTCTCCGAGTAGGGCATTAAGTAAGGATAGGTTTTGTATGTCGCGCGCTCACGGCTACACCGCTTTAGAGTCCCTGCGCGCGCAACACGTCAGCTACAGCGCGCAACCGCCTCCCTACGCACACAATCACACCGGTTAGCGGGACGAAAGGGCCGAGCCGAACCATCCTAACTACGAACGTCCAAATTCGATAGTAAAAAGAAAATTCGCTGTATGGTATAACATACATCACAGCAAACAGAATCACAAGAACGCTATATTTGATTGCTCCTCCTGTGTTGATTGAGCAGATAAAGACTTAAAAACGGGCCGAATTCTGACATGATTCTCTAAGCTAATTTAATTAATATTTAATTTGATTATATTAGCTAAATATTTTTTATTATTAAAGTAATTACCGTGGTTCCATTTCAATTTAATTTGACAGTGTACTGTTTAAATTTAATTATCAATTTGACTTAGTGTTTTATTAAAGTGAAAACTATACTAAAGATCTATATGTATGATTTATTATACTCATCTAAAACTTGTTGGAGTGCGATATACCGATCAAATAAAATGAAGAAAGAATTTTCAAATTTTAATCTATTGACCATGTTAGCAAACTCGAGTATAAGACGTTTGTAGAAGGAGATTTTGGCTTCGGGAGCAGGGGACAGAAACAATAAAAAAGTTGAAGCTTCATAATTATACGCATTTAAAAAAAAGTTGGCGTATACAACCACAACGTTTTTGTGCATGCTAGAAAACTTTATTAATGCATGCAAGAAAAGAAGCGAAACACCGATTTTCTTATTCATTCAACCTACTTATAAATATAAATAATACATGTCCCTATTCTTATTAAAAAAAATGTAGTGATAATCAGAAAAATCGCTAAAACACTAATAGAAAAGGTCCAACCATTAACCAAATGTAAGAACTTTAATAAGTTGATCAACCTTCACAGCAGCAATCAATTGACGCACGCATATGAAGCTCCAACAAGAATTAATAGCAGCCTTTACAAGTACGCATTTATAAGTGTAAATAAACGAAAAGACGAATGCGAGTTTTATTCTTGAATCCCACACACTCCTGGATCGTCAGTGAAAGCTTGTGTCAAGTATAGGCGGCTATTCTAACATAAATCCGAACAATTATTATTGTTATTATAATATCTATTCATTGAAATCGTTATTTTGTTAATGCTTGCGCATACTAAATCCACGGTCAGGAAACACAACTCATCGCATTGCAAAATTGCGTCAAATCACAATATTAGTAACACATCAACGCCATAATCGATTCAGACAGACGCTGGCTTTCCAAGGCAGAAGATAGTCCAGATGATTTTATTGAGTCTGGCTGTTTTAATTTAAATTTTAAACGTGACAAAGGGAAGTTTGCGGAAAGAAGGTCTTAATAATTCGCAAATGCGAGTCTGCGACTTCCAACACACACTGGAAATAGAGCCCAACGCATAAACATTGAAACATACGTTCAGCAAGCAATGCCCCGATACATTCGACTGCATTTATTGTGCGATATATATCATATAAATTTACTGAAGGGATGTAGGAATATTTTATACGTTGCAGAGCGGTCCTTCCCGCCCTAGTATGAGCTTACTTTAGGATAGCATTTTTTATATTTAAGTTATACTTACTTAGATGCATAATAGTATATATATCTAACAAGATATTAAAATTATATTTTTACAAAAAAAATACAATAATAATTGTTCGTTCCAACATTCGGGCAGATAAATCAGACAATGCATGAAGATAAACATTGAATAAATAATCACTATGCAAACACTATTCAACATTTAACTACAACTGCAAATCACATATTACATACTACATAAACTATTTAAGAATAACATTATTAAAATAATATTTCAAAAATTACTGAAGGGAAAAGAAACAGTTTAATAACAATGAAAAAAAATAGAATTATTAGTGTCTACTATTGTAATTACTTATATCAAGATACTTTATTTTTTTTATTTAATTTTAATCAAAATTGTACGACCATGGCTCATGACATGAACTGTGACTTTATTTATAGACTTTCGCAATAAATTAATTGGCAATTACACAGGTATCCAGGCTACCTAGAAAAAAAACAACTTCGCTAAGATTCCCAGCCTGACACCATGGCAGAGTTGAATTCTTTCTGGTAACATTTTTTATTCTTTACTATCACTATACTATACTATGCGAAAATTTTAGTGATAGCGGCATTGATTAAATTTTTTCTCACGCCACGGCAAATATTTAAATATAATATAATAACTATAAGAAGCTTCATTGCACTGTGTTTATTTTGTTACTTAGATAGCTGTATAGGAATTCTACATTATAATACTTTGATAAAACGACATCTAGTGAGTACACAGAAAAAGTAAATCAATACCTTAGGTATTTTTTTAAAGCGAAACATTTGGCTATGCATTAAAGTTATCATATTTTTTCTATACAGTGTTCGAAAATACTATCACAGGGGGCGTATAGGTTAACATGACGAATATAATAATATGAATAGGTATAATTTTTTTTTATCAATATGTCTCAAGGTCTCTCGACTCCGACTTATTATGCCAGCTACAAGTATACACAAGTTACGTTAATTATCACTATAATTATGTACATAAACGTTATAATTAACCTATAGGAAGTTTATTTTGAGCGTCAAGATTATACAGTCAGCCATTGATGGCAGTTAATAAATTTTCTGTAAATTAAAATAGTAGGTACGTATTGTTTGACAATTACCTTACAATGTAATTTATTAAAGAATTCAGATCACACAATCATCGCTTTAAATCCTGCAGGCATCCAAATATTTTTAAAACTTAACAAACAATTATATTTTGTTTTATATAGTTTTCAATTTAATACTATACTGGGAGAAAAGAACAACCATTATATACCTAACATCAAATTTAATTACGATTATATTTTATTTAGTATTTTTTAATTTTTTTCTTTTTATATTACAAATATTACGTTACGTACTTATAGAACAAACTTATTAAACTATTTAAGAAAGATTTATTACGATTACAAGAATAATATTTTAACTTTTTTTTTGTTCTATTAACAAAATGGTTTCCTTTTTAAATCAAATTTAAATAAGCTTAATTCTGCTTTTATAACATCCTCCATGTTTAAATTTTCTTTTCATCCCACCACCTCGGAAAGTGTAATTTTGCGCTTCGAAATCTGGCTGGAAAATTCTATTTTATTCGCTTGAGCGGCAAAGTAGATTTGAATTTAGAACATCACATATAATGAGTACTCAATATAATTGTAAATTCAAAACGTCATTAAACCTATTTAATGTAACCTCTATGGTGCCAAATTTATGATTAGAACTTTTTAAATTGTGAAAAAATTTAAATTTGGAACCTTCTTGGTTTCTTTGTTTTATTTGCGTGCTTCGCGCCATTCTAGTTTTTCACGTTTTATTGCTTAATATAATTAACATAACCTAAAAACTGTACAAAAAAATCAACTAAAATGAGTGACATTAGCGACGATGAAGTTTATCTAACGCCAACTGAGTTAACTGAAACAGTTAATAATGCGCAAATGAGCCTTCTCCCTCAGCAATCACGAGAGAAGTATTTGAAACAGTACGATATATTTAACATGTGGCGACTAGCTAAAGGAGCAAAAACTTTCTCCGAAAACGTTTTGCTGGCATATTTTATAGAATTATCTGAGACCAAGAAAGCAAGCACGCTATGGAGTACGTATTCAATGCTAAAATTAACAATTAAGATGAAGAAAGACGTTCATATCGACACCTATCATAAATTAGTGGCATTTTTAAAAAGAGCCTCATCTGGTTATAAACCAAAAAAATCGAAGGTTTTCACAGCATCTGAAATTGCAAAGTTTATTAATGAAGCACCTGATTCCGTATATTTAGCGGCAAAAGTAAGTCAATACGTGTAATTTTTTGTTGTTGATAAAATTGTACATAGTACTTACAATATTTTTAATTTGATTAATTTATTTACGATTATAAATACTTCTTTTGTTACAGGTTGTTCTTATTATTGGTATAACCGGAGCATGTCGAACAAATGAACTTACACTACTTAATGTCAATAACGTATCAAAATATTCTCATAATTCTGATGAATTGCTATTAATTAATGTACTAAATACCAAGACAAAAAAAGACCGCAACTTCGTTATTCGCAAGGAATATGTAAACATTGTTCAGAAATATCAAGCTTTACGTCCTTCTAACACCCCAATTGAACGATTTTTTCTACAATATCGCAACGGAAAGTGTATCCGACAACCTATGGGTCAGAATAAAATTGGCAGTATTCCACGAGAAATAGCAACTTTTCTTGGACTTTTAGAACCCCCGTTATACACCGGTCACTGTTTTAGAAGAACCTCAGCCACACTTTTGGCCGAATCAGGGGCTGATCTTCTATCGCTTAAGCGCCATGGAGGCTGGAAGTCTAATTCGGTTGTAGAGGGATACATAGAGGATTCAATCCAAAGTAAATCAAAAATTTGTAATAGTATCGTGGAGGCCATAACGCTGAAAGAACCTCTGTCAGATTCTTGGTCTCGCCCTTCTACATCTAAAATGAGCCCCCATAAGATTGGAAACAATAGCCCTCTCTCGCCAACATTTACGCCAATAGAATCCAATGAATCGGCACAACTATTTAAAATTACTGATACGAGTAGTTTACCACAAAACAGCGCACAATTCACAAACACCAACATAAGTAACTGTAGCAACGTTACATTTAATATTTCTTAATTATTTTCTACTTCTTATTATTTTCTTCAATTTATAGATTATCTTAATGTGTTTTAATTGAAATAAAAATATTTTGTCATTATAAATTGTTTTCTTTTTCATTTTGTCATTTCCTCGCTGAGGTGGGATGAAAAGTTACGTATTGCACTCGAGTGGAAAGATTTTTCACCTTGTGCTCGTTTGTTTCCCTCGCTGACGCTCAGGATTCTAATTTAGAATCACTCGCTGCGCTCGTGATTCAACTTTAGAATCCTTCGCTTGCTCGGTCATCCAAATCGAGCACGCGGTTAAAAAGGAACTTTCCACTCTTGTATAATAAATAACTATTTTTTGGTAATTGACAAGTTTTAACGAGGAAAATCTGGCGTCTTTTGCAAACGATTTGCACGACAGTCTTAAGTGAAAAATATTTTTTTTTTAATATGATATATTTTTTTTCTTCTAACGCAGGATAATTTTTAAAATAACAGCAACCATCAAACCACATAATTGTATTAATGATTTAATTTAAGTTTTGGTTAAAGACAGCCACATCAAGTTACCACAAACGGTGTTTTCTTTTTCAATAGCTTGTGAATCTTTGGTGAATCCATTTGACAGTTTTGGGTAACTTAACCTGCGTCTGTACTTAAATCAATATTTTTCGATTTTTTTATATTTAATTATTTAACAATTGCACAAATAAGTGTACAAGTGGCGAACTTAATACCATTAGGCATTCTCTATCAGTCAACCGGAGAATTGTAGCAAAGATCTTAGAAGGTAGTGCAAAAAGAATACTTAATGTTTTCACTGGATAGTGCAATATCGTCAAGTTTCTCAGCCGCAAAATCACCTTTAGCCGTAAACAAACTAGCCGTTATTCAAGGGCGCCGCACAAGGGGAAGGGGAACGCAGCTTTTAATGCTTTGCGCTTTTATTTATTTTCCCTGGCAGTATCCTTAGTAGCCTTGGGCTGAGTGGTAGTTTGTCTTACCATCTCTCATTACTATAACTCATTATTATAACTATCGAAACACACACAAAAACCAAATTGAAAAACAGAAAGTAATAAAAAAAATGCTGTGGTTTTATGAAACGTAAAGGAAGTAAAACTTTCGAGTTTTTAAGATCACCTTTAATTTTATCCACAATAAATGCGTGTGCGGAATTTTGCTACTGACACTCAGTTATTGATGCAAAATGAAAAAAAGTCCTTTCTTGGCTGGGAATCGAACCCATGCCGCCTACATGGCAGTCCAGTTTTCTACTACGGAACCACCGTTGCTTTTTGACAAGGATTAAATTTTTTCATAACAATTAAAAATGTAATGCGAGTATGTTAGAGATGAGAAATTAAAAAGTAAAAAGTAAAAACACCTCATTTACGTATACTAGGACATTGGTTAACACAAGTATAAGCTGGGGTGTATTTTAAAAGACCCCCCCCCCCTCCTAGTTCTAGGCTGACGACGCCCTTCCTTTACTTTGACAACACGAAAGTAACGGAATATAATTATATAGTTATTGAAAAGTGTTTCTATTTTAAAAAATTACCCGTGAGAAATTATTTCATACCAATTAAAAACTAAACTAAAGCTTTGTTTAGGAACAGAAAGGTTGAAGAGTAAAATAACTTTTTAACTTGAAAAAGTACTTTTGAAGCTTCTTAATGGAAGACAGATTGATAATAAATGTATAAGTATTATAAAAAATTCTACATAGTAAAACTACAAGTTACATACATTTAAACTATGAATTGGCAAAAGAGATTATATCTCCCTAAGTAACACTTATGTTTTAGGTCTGTCCTTGTTTTAGGTAAAAAATTAGTATCGTATATTTTTTAAATATGAAACCATATTGTTTAAGGTTAATCGTTAAACATTTTAATCATTATTTCTACGTTAACTATTTACTTTTTCTCAATAATATCTGAATGTAGAAGATACTACTGATTTACAATACCTACTGTTATTTAGTAACCAACGCTTCTCAAAATGTGATACATCAAATGCTTTTCATTAGTACGCTAAATTAAGTCTTGGTAAATTCGTTCAGTTTTTCGTGTGAAGTGCATTAGAATCACAGATCACATAGAAAATATGAAATAAAATATTGATATTTGTTAATTTTAATACCAACAAGAGTAATGCAAGCTTGTAAAAAGATTACAAGGAAATATAATAATAATACCACAGGTGCATACTGTAATACTCCATAGTTGTAGAAAACTTTTGTCTGAAACACAGGTTTACCTAGTTCAGGCTATAGCATAAGTTATTTATCTTTTGTTATTTCTAGAATTAAGTAATTTATTGTAAACAGAAATCGAATAAACATTTTTTATTATTATTATAGTACTGTTGCGGTCAAGCGCCAAGACATACTGTTAATTTTGTAAAAAAGAGATCATAAACTAACACAGCTAAGACTCCATAAGATAGAAATTTAATAAATCACATTTAAGCTAAACCAAATTCACAGTAAGTAATATTTCTCTAAAGTGGAAAAGAAATATTTAGCTCACCTGAGCAATATTTCCTCGTTAGTACGCCTCCAAAATGTTGTTACCGTTTAATTGTTGCACAATTAAATATTAAAACCAAAGTCGCCATACTTTATGACTAAAGGGGTTTGGGATCCATAGAAATTTGAGAAGCGCTGATTTACACTATAGCCTCCGTATCGCTAATTACATGTATGCCGTGTTTAGTCAGAATCAAGCGTACTATATCGTTACAGCTCCTCGTCTTATAATTCCTAGATGAATCTCTATCCTTCAATTTGATACTCTTAACTTTATCGCACAGTTTACTCACTTCAGACTTACTTTTCTTTATCTCTTCAGGTCTGAGTTTTCTTATAGTTGAAGAGCACCGCTTTTTGATCGTATTATCGATGTTAAGATTCTGTTCTACGTTACTCTCGCTGACTCTGCGCTTGTAAATGTCGAAATCTGCATCGTCTTTCGATAAATAGCTGTCCAAAGACCTGTAAGTGGACTCTGCTAGACTTACCTTGTCGTCTTTGATGGCGTGCTGAGTCGAATCGCTGACGATTTTGACGGCTTTACCGGGCACATAACTCGCTGGCACCTTGTCTACGTAAGCCATTTTCGGTTTTATAGTATCGGAAAGTGGGCTAATCGTGTCTGTATGGGTGTTGGGCATAAGGAAATTGGTCTTCCTTGCTCTTTTCACAGTAACAGTTTCGTCTACTATGGAAGGTCTGTCTTTTATGGAAATTAGGATGTTTTTATAACTGGTTTCATCAGGGGACGCCATTATGACGTCTTGCGGTGAACGTTTGCCGTAGTTGACGAGAATATCGTTGAGGATGTTATACTCACTGATATCCATGAAGGCATAAGGAGAAAGCTCACGTTAATTGTCTGTTTTGTTGCTGTGCGAATACATTTAGCATTAGTGTTAATATCCTGTTTAACTAACTACTAGGTAATGTAACGTTCTATTTTATAACTATAAGTTCTAATGGTTCTAAAGAGATCCGCGTGTTAAGTAGCTAGATAAAGATACTTTAGGGAGTGAAACTTTTAACTTTAGCCTTACTTTACGAGTCAAACTCTTTTGCTTTATTTTATATAAATCCCTATTTTATTTTACTTTATAAACCAAATCTTTTTTCAGCCTCACAACTAATAAATTTAATAAATAACACTAAACTTTTAAACGTCATCTTGTTTACAGTAGCGACATCAACTATTTCGAGTAAATACCCTTGCTAGAAAGCCTTGTTAATGGCAGGTAGTAAATTTTAACGATGTAGAAGTTGGATTTAAATGTGCGACTTGATTTTGAGTGATTGTGAATTATTATTAAAAGAATAAACTCACATTTTATTAGGCGTGGCTCCGTACAGTCTGTGATGCTTTATGTAAGCCAGTACAGCGTCGTCTGTCAAGTATTTGGCGCTTTCTCCACGCCGCATCAGCCGCCTTAAAACCGTAGAACTTACGTCGTTCACTATATAATTGCTGACTAGAATCACATTATTCTGGAAATAAATTATATTAGATTAGTGCGGCCTTTGCCCGTAATTCTTCTGTCGCAGAGTATACGCTGCTCTAGTAGGTACCACCTTTAAATTGTGTGTGCTAAACGCAGAGCCGGATTTGGAGATCAGGAGGCCGCTAATTGTATTTACCGAGTAAAAATTAAACAATAAAAACAGTCACACTAATCAGCCTACAGACAGAGTAACTGTGTTGGGGGGTTCTGGGGAAACTGGTAGAAATATATATTAAGATATGCTGATAGATACGTTATATTTGTACAAAAATATGTAAAAACAATAATGACTGACGTGCAAACATTTGCCCAACTGAGACTGGAACTCCGGCCGTCAGGTAGGTGAATGAAAAACGGTATTCATACCACTCCAGCACGTTGTCTCAATTGGGTTTTTTTGTTTTAACAATTGGTTAACATAATGAGTTATCTATTTACGCTTTATGATGTAGCTCTATATTGTGCGTGACTTGACAAATACTGGCTAGCTACTACATAAATAAACAGGTCTTTCACCGCGAGCTAAAAATTCATACACACTTGAACTGAAATGAACACATCTCACCCTATGTTTGTAGAGTATGTCCGAGTCGTACACAAACTTGCCGGGGTCGCTGCCCGCTCGCGTCACCACCACCAACCCATGACGGCCCACTATCGCCTCCATCTGGGGACAAATAAATAAATAAATATTAATGATATCTCGATGGCGCAGGTGTATAGCGCATTCGGCCTGCATTGGTGAAGTTAAGCAACTTTCGAAATGGTTGGTCAATGGATGGGTGACAAGAACTTATTACCTCAAGCTCCATTTTCATTAGGGAGGCACGTTAAGCCGTTGGTACCGGCTGCATCTGCAATCATTAGTAACCACCAATCCACACCGGGACCGAGTTGTGAGTCATGGCCCAATCTCCCTATTCCATACAGGAGTATGACGATTCACCCACTGCAGAACGTTACGGGCGCGTGATCTGCGCTACTCTTCGGGACGCGCTTCGAGTGGGAGAATGCGTTTCTGTGAAGCGCCACAGCGCGCCAACGCTCGGTCAGTGTGTCGCATGATTTCTATACGAACTGAGATACTTGCATACAACGTTAAAATCTGCGCACACGCGTTACGCGATGCAGCGCGCTGCAGTGGGTGAATCGCCATAGGGACAGTCTGTAATTATCTTCTCTGGATGAGACTGTTAAAACTTCAATTTGTTTTTATCACCTGTATGTATGTGTTCAAACGCATTGACTATTCATGCCATCTCCATTCAAAATCAAGCTTAATCAATCAGACTAATAACTTCACATACATAATTTTTACTATTTCTCTAGTTATTAACTCTGCTCAAAAGCTCAAAGGCTGTAACCTGCAACCTCAATGTATAGAGCTGCATTAATAAATGAAAAATATAACAAAAAATCACTCACATCCTCATCTGACCACAGGCCCGGAGTGGCAAACGACTCCAGCAGGTCGGCTCCACACAGCAGCTTTACTGTCACCTTGCTTGAATCACTGTTATTCAATCTATCCATCAAGTTGTCCGGTTCATCGATGCTGTTCACATTCAGCACATCGTCCGGTAGCCACGAAGGAGGATCTGGTTCCAGTGACAAAATGTGCCCATTGATTGTGTCCTAAGTAGAAATAATCAAATTTAAGATCCCATTAACTTATTTCAAAGCCTTAAAAATTTACTGCTACATTATAGTACAGTTATTCTGTGTCTTGGACTTGGAACAGTGCCGAAATATCAGGGACTGACAGAAAAACAAGGTACATGGTACACTCCCCTAATTGCCATAATTTACAGATTCATGATTTCAATAATAGGTTAAAGTTAAGAAAGTGTTTTGATTCACCATATTAAGCTTAATTTAACACAAACATATGTTCGTTCCTGTATTGTTCTTATGTGAAATAGAATAGTATGCCGACAGATTTAGAACTACAACATGGTTATTAAATCATGATTACTTGATGATATTGCATAGAGTTTCTTGTCCTTGTCCATCCAGATTGTTGGGTCTCCCATTCCGAAACTTTGATCCATGATGATGACCGCAAAGCCAACTGTAGCATAGAGATCCTATAAAAATAATAAGAACAAATACCAAAAAATAAAACTAGTACATTCTTAAGTTGTAACATTATTCATATTATCAATAAAAATACATCTTAGCCTAGGATTAAAATCTAATTTTCTGTTTGGTTTATAGTGATAACTTGTGAGAACTTAGTGAAGTTCTTTTACACAATCTGAATAAAAAACGCCATGTTTTTTTTTATTCATAATAGGCAATGCGTTTGACCACAATCTCGCTTGATGGAAAGCGATGATGAGGCCCAGGATGGTACACGCCTGCCTAGAAGATGCCTGTTGACTATGGCCTTGAAGATGTCCAGATTAATTGGTCCGGGAAAACAGACCTTGGTAAGGAGTTCCACTCCCTAGCCGTTCGCATAATGAAAGCGGAAACTACATAATAATCTTAGACAAAACATCGCGAAAAAGATGACGGAAGTTATTAAAAGTTCATATCTGTTCTAATATCATCAAAGCTTATTGATATAACAATGTCTAAAACACAAAAATAGTTTTTAAAACAACTGGATTTACAAATAGACTGTGATAGCTGTATATTTCTATAAAACTGATTATGCAACAACCTGTGATGGGCTGCCACTAGGTCTTTCTTGCCGTATGCGTCATGCACCGGAGACACTACACCACCCACAACTGTAGCTGTCCCCGTAGAGTGCAGGTAGTCTCTGGCTATTTCTGAAAAGATACAAATACACTCTTACAGGTCGACACTTCTTTACTATACCTGCAATAACCTTTAAATATATTCTCACTAGCATGTAAACTTTCATACTAAAATAAACTAAAATTCCTTATCATCACAGGTCTTGCGACCAGACCGTGCCGTGTAGTTAGATACAGACGGAACAGGACTCTTGGACGGAACCGAGTAGGAAAGGGGTTGAGTGATGAGGAGGCTCATTTGAAGCATCCGGTATTGAATAGAAGGCTGGCAGTCCTTGCGGCGATGGAAGCGGTAATTCCAAAGAGGCAGGCTTCACTCGGTCTAAACTAATCTCGGTAATTCTTCCGTCACAGTTTATTACTATAGTTTTGGGTTTCACTTGTATGACAGGATGAAGACCTGAATAGGCTGGCGTAAGCGGCCTACGGACTGCGTCGTCACATAGGAAAACGTGTGTAGATTTTCTAATTCCTCGTGCACGAAAGTGCTACGGTTTTTGTGACGCGATGCCGGCATCGGTCGGAGTTTTGCCATATGCTGCCGCAAAATTGTTACGAAATATGTAGGATCTTCAACTCGATCGCTCGAGCGAAAGGTGGTGCCAAAAATTCGCCAGGCAGACGAAGCGTTTCTCTGTATAGGAGCTCTGCTGAGGAGGACTTAAGTAAGGTCTTCCTTGAGGGCAGTGCGTACTCCGAAAAAAACAAGGGGTAATGCTTCGTGCCATGAACCACTATGACATGCGAGAGCAGATTTCAATTGCCGGTGGAACTGCTCAACCATCCCGTTTTCAGATGGATGATAGCTGGTCGTGCAAGAACGTTCAGTAGCGCAGCTCTGAAGAAGCCGTCGGAAGAGATCCGATTCGATTTGGCGACCCTGGTCAGTTGTTATGACAGTAGGGACATCAAATCAAGCAACCCAGTCCGAGATGAAGATTCTAACGACTTCTTCAGCGGTGATTTCAACCATGGGCCATACCTCTGGCCAGCGTGTAGTGGTAAAAAGACAATACTTGAATGTGCCACAAGATGGAAGTGAACCAACGATATCAATATGGACGTGTCGTAACCGTGCTGATGGTTTGAAGAAACTTCCTAGTGGCGTTTTGTTGTGCCTTGTGACGTTACTCTGCTGACAAGGTATACAATTCCAGGCCCATTTGCGACAGTCCTTGTTAATATTCGGCCAAACAAAACGGTTAGTGACAAAGCTAGAAGAAGCCCTCACTCCAGGGTGGCTCAGGTTGTGAATCCTGTTAAACACTCGTTTTCGGAGCATAGGAGGTACGTATGGACGTATATTTCCATTAGAATAATCACAGACTATATTCTTTGCGTCTATGGGCGGTACTTCGAAGAGTGGTACTGCCAAGGGGCGCCCCGTAAGCAATCCTACTGTTAACTCTATGTACCTTATTCCAGTTGATAAACAAGAGGTTTCCCTAATCATATAAAGGTTAAAGAATAAAGAAAGTCATGGGATAAACAGTGTTCTGATGAGTTAGCTCCTCCACTTTGTTTTTTAATTAATCAATCTTTTGAAGATGATATTTTCCCAGATCAACTAAAAATATCAATTATAAAACCGGTTTTATGATTGATATTTTGAAAAAAAAACTGAACCTAGTAACTATCGTCCAATAGCTCTCTTACCCACGGTTGCTAAGTTATTTGAGAAAGCAATATTAATCGTATCTATATATTTTGATGAATCCCAAAATGGCTTCCGAAAACATAGATCAACTGCTTATGCTGTTTATAAATATATGCAGGAAGTGTACAATAGAGTTAACGAAAGCAAATATGCAAAAGGAGTATTTTTGGACATGACAAAAGCATATGATAAGGTAAATTATAATATTTTATTAAATAAACTATATGGAATTGGAATCCGTGGCAAGACGCACGATTGGTTCAAGTCGTACCTTAAAAACAGGGACCAATTCGTAGAAATAGAATATTTCGATACTTCAACTGGCGAGATTAAATATATAAGATCTGACCGACAAATTATAAACGCATCTATACCGCAAGCCAGCGTTCTTGGATATTTATTGTTCCTGATTTACATAAACAATCTCCCTGCAACTATGGCGGAACTTGGAATCATGTGTCCTATTTGCAGACGATATATCTCTGCTTACGTCATGTCAAAGTAGCAAAAACCTAAATCACCAACTTAATGACATATTTAACAAAATAAACGATTGGATTTGCGATCATCTATCCATATCAAAAAGCACCTATAGATATTAACTTTAACTTTCAAAAAAAAATCAAAATTTAATATCGTTTATTCAGTCTAGGCTGTTACAAGCACTTGTGAATGTCGAAAAGCTACGCCATCGGTTCGCAAATCTACGGCGGGAGACCTTGTACTGAGAAGAACCGGCAAGAAACTCAGCAAAGGCTGCTTTTTTCTCCCTGTTTTATTTCATACAGTGTCGTCCAATTGAAAGTTGACATCAAACTTGCAAACATGTGTTGAGGTCAACTTCCATCACATAATGTCAAATATGTAACAATAGACAATCAACGAATTTACTAACAATAAGTGCAAAAATAAGTCCCAAAATAGCAAGAAACAATTTTCAAAACAAAATGAACAAGTATATGAAAGGGAGTAAGTGCAAGGTTCTCTTCAAAACTCTTTCTAAGGCTGGGAGCCTTAGTTTTAATATAACTTTTGAAAAATTATCTACAGGTACAATTACAACCAGGCCGTTTTATTATTCAAATATTGATTGATAGTATAATATCCTTTCTTAAGTAAACAATTCTTAATGTGTATTTTAAATTTATGAGGAGGCAAATCAAGGATATCTTATTATAGAAATGTATACCTTTAACGGAACAACATTGGAAGTTGTCGACAAATTTTGTTTGTTAGGAATAACCATAGACAAACATTTAAATTGGAAACCACATATTGAAAAAGTAAGATCAAAAATTCCTAGCTTTCCATACGCTTTTTACGAAATTAAATGAACAGCTAACATGAAAACTGCACGGGCTATGTATTAAGCTTATGTATACTCTTGGTTGAATTATGGAGTTATTTTATGGGGGACCATGATTTTTTTGTAACATCTTGTATTATAATTACTCAATACTTAATGTTTTATTTAAACAATAAAACATTGAGTATCTATGAAGCATTGAAAGGTCTGTCCCACATTTCAGAGACCAAATCTCATGAACGGGAATTCATAGAGCCCAAAGGGGATAATGATGGGTGTTTTGCATATGTCATCAGGGGCCATAGGAATTTGCTGGTATGCTTATAAGATCAATAGTGCTGAAGATGGCAGCACCAGCAATATTGCTGCATAAGTCTCCAAACGGTCAGGCACGGTGAGGGCGTTGAGGGCCCTATAATCACCACAAGGGCATTGTGGCGTCTTTTTCGGCACTAAATGCAGTGGTGAGGCCCAGGGACACTTTAAAGGTCTAGCAGTTATGCACTGAATCATGCCTTCGAAGGTCTTTTTAGCCACCTGCAATGGGGGCGAGCCGACGAGGATGACATGACACTGGTGGGCCATCTGTGGTCTTGATGTAGTGATAGGTATTGTGTTCTATCTCTCGTGATATTCCAGGTGGTCTTGTAATGGTAGGGAAACCAGACAGGATACGCAGGAAACGTGAGCTGGAAGCAACACTCTCAGAGACAGCCTTAATGCCAGTGAGAGACAAGATGATAGAGTTGCTCTGGAGACCAGTCTTCCCTCTACCTGGACTTGCTTGCACAATCAGGCAAAAGACGATAAAAAGCCAGAACTTCCTCTCCTAAAATCGCAGCACAGACATCAACAAGATGAAATTCCAAGGAAATTCCCTGCGCCATCCAATACGCGCTTCGTATAGTATATAGTTAAGTTATGTAAATATTTAGTTTATAAAATATTGTATATAATATGTAATTATGTAATGTGCTAGTGTAAGTATTTGGATGTAAGTTATTTATAAGTTTGTATTAGTTATGTAAGTTATAATGTAATAAATAATTTTGTATGTGGTTTTGTATAAATAAATATAAATAGTATACATGCCGCCACATCACTCCCCCCCAAATCCATTAAGTCGTATAGTGCCGTAAGTTAGAATGTTACTACAATTGGCGGCATACAGTACGTAATCCTCCTAACATTTGTAAGCCACCGATACAGGTAACACGAAAGATCTGATCCAGTATCTAGTAGAAAACGGTGGCATGATGCCTTCTCTGTGATTCATTTTGTGCAATGTGTTATATTGCCTCTGCATTCCATTTATAAATAAATAAATAAATATTTATAACACTCACACCAATCAGCCTAGCCTCAAAGTAAGCACTGTAAGGCTTGTTATGGGATACTAGGGTAACAGATAGAATACATATACAGTACATATATAAGTATACTTGTATAGAAATACATATTAAACATCCATGACTGGAGTACAAATGCTAGTATTCATCACACAAACATCTGCCCCCACCGGAATTCGTACCAGGGACCTCTAGAGTCAGCGAGACCATGAAACCTGGTGTACAAACCACTTGGCCACAGAGGTTGTCAAAAATTTATAAATTATAAAGTTATAGTAACATGATTGCCAAGATAATATTAATGCTTTTGAAAGAAAATGAAAAAAATTTGTACAAGCTAGGTAGCCTTTACAGGACATTAATAATAATCAAGCAAAAGTTATGGCCTGTTATTATTAATAATTATGAGTAACAGCATACGTTCTAACAACAATATTCACTTCCTTGGAGGGAAACTGATAAAATGAGATATTGATGCCAATGTAATCAATCAAACTACATCAATATCACAGTAAAATCAAACCAAACCCCTTCAATATCATTTAGATTTGTTTAGTAGATTGTTGGTGAGAGAAGAATTACAAATACATAGTATGAATTATAAAGAAATGCACTGTTTCTTTTTATATTAACATTGATTTAACGATTTCAGGAAATTTAAGCAAAAATACAAACTTACCAAAGATGCGTAAATGCATATAAGTCAGAGGGCTAAAACTACCACAATCTAACAAAACAACTTTTCCTTGAGATATCCTGTTAATGTTATGTTAGCGTTTCTACTGAGCAAAATCATTGATTTAACGATTTCAGGAAATTTATTAGCACCAATACAAACTTACCAAACATGCGTAAATGCATATAAGTCGGAGGGCTAAAACTGCCACAAGCTAACAAAACAACTTTTCCTTGAGACATCCTGTTAATGTTATGAAATATTTGAGAGCACATAAATCACAACAACTGCACAATAACAAACAGCGATTATCTTTCTCACAAATTGGTTCACACACTTCATCGATTTGATTTGATTGACTAGTTTCCAAATTTAATAGGTCATGCGATTTATTAAAATAGTTGGATAATGAGTACTTTTAATTTTAGTCGGTTAATGGGTCTGATCAAACTGTAGACGGGTTCTATCTAATACTATAATCTATTTATGACAATAGTATATCCTTATTGTTTTCTATAAAGAATGAGAAGGAGAGACTATTCACTACTGTCTTTGGGTTTAAGTTGCCAGAGTTGGGCCCATAATTTTTTCTCATGTTGGTACTGCTGGTACTTCACTTTGCTTGCTATTCGTGTTTGTCTTGATGGGATGTTTGACAAATAATCACTATTTGTGGTAGTGGTGTTGAATATAAATATCAATCACTAAATTAAACGAAGAGCTCATTTGCTCAAGTGGTTAGCGCGTTCGGCTGCGATTGTTAAAATTTAGCAACTTTCGCAAACTTATTATCTCATGCTCCTCCGTGCTTCGAAAGGAATGTTAAGCCGCTGGTCCCGGGTGCATCTGCAGTGGTTAGCACCCATCAATCCACACTGGGTCCGCGTGGTGGGTCATGTCCCAATCTCCCTATTCCATCCATATAGGCTGATGCCTATAGCCCAATAGGCTGATGATGATGATGATGAAATTTAATTAACATAATTTCAACCATATCGAATAAAAATATTCATTCAATTCATGTTTATTTTAACGCGAGAGTAATAATAATTCATATAGATAAATACAATCGACTGATAAAAAAATCGAAATGAATAATTTCAATTACAGATCGAAGTAATTGACAAAATATTTACTTTTGAAAAATATTCAGATATTATATTTGTATAAAAATGATAATTTAAACCAATAAAATTATTTGATATTATTAGTCAACTAATTAACTTTTGAATCATATCAAATTGCACTATACAAATGCTTATTTCTTATAATGTTTGGTATGAGGAACCTAAATACATTGATTTCACTTCATAAAATTAGAAGATGGCTGTAGTAATTTAATTTGAAAAATATTTTTTAGTCTATGCTTTTGAAACACTCAAAACGCTGTCCACCATGATTGTGACGTCAACAAATTAGTAAATGTATTAATAAACACGAATAGCCTAGTGAAGTGCCGGCATGAAAAAACATTATTTTGCTTTATTTCACAAATTGACAATATATTTGCCAAATAGAGAACATTAACACAATCTCGTTAGTTTTTTGCATGGACGTACTAATTGTACAGGACTGAGTACAATGAAAAAAAAACTGTAGGGTTGCTTTCCAATTACAGAGCATAATGCGACTCAGTGCCGCACAATGCTGAATTATGCTGATGCTTAATTGGAACGTGAATTAATTTTCAAATGCACCAGCAGAGTGCGCTAAGTTCAGTGTTGAAAAAAAAATCAATGTTTGTACCTTCATCCATACTTATATTTATTTTTTAACAGTTTGAATGAACTTTGACTATTTAAAAAAAACTATTAAATGAAACGAAAGCTTTAATATTTTTTCAACTTAGAGACAGATCTCTAAGTTGGTACGATAGCACGCATCACACGAAAGCATCACTTTTGAGAGTGCTCAATTGTGCGAAGCGTTGCTGTAGTTGGAACACTCAACGTTAAGCATTATGCCGCATAATGCGCTATAATGCTGTAATTGGAAAGCAACCAGTTTATAAACTGTAGTTTATTTTACGTTGTTAGGTGCAGAGGGCCAACCCAGGTACAGAGAGGTAGTCACAACAGATGCTCTTTGTCTTGTTCTTACAACATACCAGTTTAAGAAAATATTTATTTCCCCAATTACTTTTTAACCAAATGTTATTTTACAAAATGCAGGTGTACATGTTATACTATTGATGAATCTGTTATGAATAATTCGATATTGTCTTGATAACAGCAATTTACCGAAGGTTAGAGACTTGCTTGTCTGTCACATAGTCCAATCTGTGATTGACTCAAATTTACTTCACCCCACAGATTACAGAGACCACTAAAATTAAGCCCCATCCAGGCGTAAGCATTTAATAGTCTGTGGCCAGGCCCAAGGTTCCTTGGCCTAATCTCTGAATAAGGAAACCGGCCTTAGGGTGCGGCCAGAGTGCACTCAGATTCAGATTCAGATTCAGATTTCGAAAACAAGCGCGAGAAATAAACAGTGTAGTCGAAGGGTACGGCCAGATTGCACACCTGATTTAGATTCAGATTCAGACTCAGAAAACAAAGCGCGAGAAAAAGCAGGCAACCTGCTTAGACTAAACTGTTTATTTCTCGCGCTTGTTTTCAGAATCAGATTCAGACTCAGAAAACAAGCGCGAGAAATATGCAGTGGACCCAATTCTGGCGTGCCAACTTATATCTAAAACTAACTAAAATTAGATATAGAGTTGTCAAATTCAATTTGGTATTCTGTAATGACACCCTATCTCTAAATTTAAAATTGACGTCGCTAAGTTATTCAACTTAGATTTAGATGATTAAATGGTATTCTGAAACGCGTTCTAAATGTCATATTTTCTCTAAAATTAGAAATGTCACACTAAATTTCAGAAGGACCTACGGAGATCCTCTCTAAATTTAAATGTGAATAATCGGGCCAAATAGTAGGTAAATGATTGATGTACTTAAATTTTAAACTTGTTGTTAAGGTTGGATATGGGTTTATTTCGTTAAAAAAGCCATAAATTTTATACAATAATGAACGACGACGGTGATAATAATATATTAGCTATCTCTTTAATTTTTTTTAAAGGTATTTAAGTCTATGTTACGATGCGGATTTATTATGAGCCTATTAATGTGTCATGAGTCACTACGCAGGCCTAATGCAGCTTAGGCTAATGACTGCAGATGCAGCGAGCAGCAACATAGAAACTCGAATTAATACATTTTTGGTTGGTCACCCATTATAAGATCGGCCATTGTGAAAGTTGCTTAACTTCACGATCGCAGAACGAACGCGTTACACTTGCGTTATTGTGGTCCTTCGTAGGTAATGTATACGTAGATCTTGTATAAAATACTAAATAATTTAAGGTCAAATCTTTTTTAACATAAATAAAAATCCACTTCATATAAAAAACAAGCTAAACAGGTAAGATATCTATGTGCTAATTCCTTAAGTAATACCTACAGTACCTACTTATATCTAAAGTACATAGTCAAATAATTAACCAATAATAGGTATGGTGTCAGTGATATGCATTTTAATCACCAATTCCTATCCAAATGTTATTTTGACTAAAATGTAGGACTTTAATTTATTATTTGTTCCTTTGTTTTTAGTGGTTTTGTTTTTATGAAGCAATTTTTAATATTTGTTAGAAATGATTTTATTTCCCACCTTTTATAAGCTAATAATAACCTAACACGAAATAAATTCCTACTGTTTGTAATTGAGAAGTTTGCTTTTATATATCCGAAAGTGTTTGGCATTCACCAAATGAATAATTGGGATTTGGGACGATATCGCCAAAAACTGATAGAAACAAAAAAAGATAAAAAATAGGTTACGCATCTCGGATTATAAAATAAATGAGTACAAAATCTTCACAAAACAGCCAAGGAGATAATTACAACCTCTGACCGAAACCGGAATTTATAACCGTAGGTACCTAGGAAATTTTCAAGGATGATTTATGTTAGACCGTTTCGGCCGTAGCAGAGTTAACGAATCATCATCATCATCATCATCATCATCAGCCTATTAATGTCTCCATTGCTGGGGCACAGGCCTTCCCTATGGATGGAATAGGGAGATTGGGCCATGACCCACCACGCGGGCTCAGTGCGGATTGGCGGGTGCTAACGACTGCAGATGCAGCCGGGAGAAACTCCAGATAGAAGATTTTTGGTCACCCATCCAATGACCGACCACTGCGAAAGTTGCTTAACTTCAACGATCGCAGCCGAACGCGCTGACTACCTGCGCCATCGAGCTCTTCTAGTCAACTAATAATTAATATTACATAGTATATTTTTTATGGATTATGGACACATTCACGCTATTCCGTGCGGTAACCCTCTGACAACCGAGCACCAAATGAAACAACGCTCGGAAAAAACGAAAAAACTTGGTCTCGCTTCGGCTCGGCCACTGCCCGTTGCATGAATACAGCGGGCAATCGTAGTGATAGCTCAGACAAAACAAACGTTTTCCTCGGACGAGTACACTTACCGTGTTTACTTTATCTGAATGATTATACTGCATCACGGCGCAACGGTACCTACCTAATTGCTCGGTCGAGGTACGTCTTTGTAAATTACAAATTCGGGACCGGCTCGGTGACCGTGTTACGGCTGAAGCTCGGCTCAAACTCGACACGTTCTATCGTCACTAATCACCCTTAAAGATTTTTCGGTAGCTACCAAAATCTAGTCGGTACCTAGTTTTAAATTTAATTTTAAAAGTGGCGGCTTTCCCCCAGCCTTTTGCCAAAAAAAACTTAGGCATGCTCTAAGAAAAAATATGATTCTTAAAGTTCTCCCCGTAGATTTAATTTCTCCAAGTTCATATTTTTCCCCAAAATAACGATAAACACTCCCAATCTAGAAACCCTGAGTACCACAGAGTAGGCAAGTATTCACTCTTTAATATTATTCATATTATCTCATACAATAAAATAACAAACATATGTTAAGTTTTCATATTTCAAAGATGATGAAGAACAACAAAGAATTACTGAAATAAGTCAAAATCACTGAATTATAAGTATTTATTGCTAATTTGAGTAAACCGATAATAGGCTAGTTTACTCATGTCGAATTGTATTAAATAAATGTTTATTTCTTAAAGTATTTAGTCTAAGGAACCTTAATATATCGATTTCACTTCATAAAAGCAGAAGATTGCTGTAGAAATTTAATTTTAAAAAATATTTCTTAGTCTATATTTTTTAAACACTAAAAACGCTGTTCGCCACTTTCGCCATGATTTTGACGTCTCTTGTGGTAAACAACTAAATGTCATTCGCGTGTTACTGTAGGTGGATTCTTTCGTCTGACTAAATTTATCTTAAAACACTTTTAACTGAAAGAAAAAAACAGTAAACTTAGTTTTTTTTGTCAAAACTAATTATGGATGCCGGCTTTGTGAAAGCAGAAAGCACAAATCTGTCAAGAATTGACGCATTGATGGTTGGTGAATTTGTTGCACTAAACCCCGATTTCTGCTCTGCGGAGCAGAGAAACGACAAGGCATCTATGTAAGTACAGTGCATTTAGTATTACAATGTAGTAATAAACATAAAACTGATACAACATATGAATAAGTGTAATAAAGTGGCGTAGGTTAATTTCTTTCGGCACTTTAATCCACAACTTTCCTGGAGTCTTCAAGGATGTGTTTTTATATTCTCGTACAATACAGTAATGATAATTACTTTATTTTTCGTGGTATTTACTAGAAATCATGTTTTTTTTTTTATTATAAACTCAGTTTTAAGTAATTTTCTACGTGTTTACGAGTTTTTGTTTACCACAGTTCACGTCATAGCATAGATAATCTTTAGACTAAAATGGCCGACAGCGTTTTTGTATGTCCATGAAAAGTCTATTTTAAAATTAAAGATTTGTAGCTTTCTAGGTTTAAAAAAAATACTCTGGCCGCACCGTAAGGGTACGGCCAGAGTGCACTCAGATTCAGATTCAGATTCAGATTCCGAAAACAAGCGCGAGAAATAAACAGTGTAGTTAAAGCAGGTTGCCTGCTTTTTCTCGCGCTTTGTTTTCTGAGTCTGAATCTGAATCTAAATCAGGAGTGCAATCTGGCCGTACCCTTCGACTACACTGTTTATTTCTCGCGCTTGTTTTCGAAATCTGAATCTGAATCTGAGTGCACTCAGATTCAGAGTCAGATTCAGATTCTGAAAACAAGCGCGAGAAAGAAACAGTGTAGTCTAAGCAGGTTGCCTGCTTTTTCTCGCGCTTTGTTTTCTGAGTCCGAATCTGAATCTGAATCAGGAGTGCAATCTGGCCATAGGGTGCGGCCAGAGTGCACTCAGATTCAGAGTCAGATTCAGATTCTGAAAACAAGCGCGAGAAACAAACAGTGTAGTCTAAGCAGGTTGCCTGCTTTTTCTCGCGCTTTGTTTTCTGAGTCTGAATCTGAATCTGAATCAGGAGTGATATCTGGCCGTACCCTTCGACTACACTGTTTATTTCTCGCGCTTGTTTTCGAAATCTGAATCTGAATCTGAATCTGAGTGCACTCTGGCCGCACCCATACCCTTCGACTACACTGTTTATTTCTCGCGCTTGTTTTCGAAATCTGAATCTGAATCTGAATCTGAGTGCACTCTGGCCGCACCCTATGTCTCTCTTATTGGTCTGTGCATAGAGTAAGTACATTTTTAGCGCAGTACCAAAGAGTAAAGTAAGGATACCAACGTTCAACGTAGTACTTCCTAGCTAGCCACCTTGGCCGAAATGGAGAAATTCACGGCCGTAAAACTTGAAACTAGCCACCTAAAAATTTGCTACTGCTGCCTGTCTGGGGTTTTTGGCGGGATTTCATCGAGTGCGGTTGGCGTCTTATTTTAATTATTCTTAAATTCGTTCATAGTGGATATTGTGAAATAAAATTAGTGTGGTTTTATGTAACAACTGTCTGCGTAACTGAAGAATTAGTGGAATCATTAAAATATACGCTATTCCGGTCAAGTGGATGTGAGAATTTTATTGTAGTGTTGACTACCTCACAGAAGCTTATCGAAAAAGCCAACTCGATACATTTCGTGCCAAACACTCCAAGAAACATTAGAATGCGTCACACCGACATTCTAATGTAAAAACAAAAAGAAGATTAATTTAATTAAAGACCAGGCTGTATGGGCATTGTTCCCTTTGCCTTCCCTAAAACGGGAGAACTTCAACAAAAAAAAAAAGCTGCCTGTCTGCCCGGTTAAAATAAGTAGGGACACGATATCGAATAGAAAGTATCAATACTGTACTCATGAGTAGTATCGGTAAAAAAGTATCATACTCGTAAAAGTATCGAAACAAAAGTATCGATACTTCAAAGTATCGAGTACATTTCATAGGGCCTTATCGTAGCCTCTGTGGCCTAATGATGAAACCTCCTCCCCCCACTCCCCGGTGTTAAGATTGAAAGAAAAACAATCGATTTTTATTATAGTACGTATAATCAAAAACAAAAAAAGGATATGTAAATTCACAAATTGCTTTTATATAATGAAAAGAAAATAGCTGTGATTTCTGACACTAAAAAAGTGTTCATTAATATTACATTCATAATTAAAATGTTAATTAAAAAGATCGAAATCTTAAACAATTGAAAAGTATGAAACTTTTCAGATTTGTTTCAAATTAAACTTACTTTTCTTGAATTCAAAATTGAAAATCATTAAAAACATTATACCCACTTATGTTAACTTCAATCTGACACGTGGTTAACGGCTGCCATTGGCATGCTTCACTCAAGATTATAATTATAGAAGAGGTTACGTCCGTCTTTTTTTCAAGTGGTTTCAAATAGGTATACACAGCACAGACAGAATAATAGTGTTATACTTGAATAAATCAAATACAGTCAAGCGAAAAGCACAATAAACGGCGAATCAATCACAGTTCCTAACAAATATGGTCGCTTAATAAATATGAAACAAAACAAAGCGCAAAATAAACACAGTCACAGATTGGAAAGAATTTGAATATGTCAGTTACTGACTTTATAACAACGCAATAGGGCATTTGACAGTATTAAAAATAAAGTGCCAAAACAACGAAAAAGATATTAGTTTTCTTATCTATTGTCACGTATCCCAAAACGCTTGGGATTGGCGGAGCCTAAAATGACGTCACATGCAAGTAAACTTCCGGTCAAAGTGACATTACATTGTATCGTTTGACGTTTTCATAACAGTCGTGTGACGTCACACACTAGTAAGACGCCATATTGTCCAGAGAAACGTTTTCGCGGCAACTTGAAAATGGAGTTTTTGATTTGGTTATTTTTACTGAAATACACAACAGAATGATGAATATCCACTTTTTACGGACTCCATAAACATTAGTCAATAACGTGAAAGCGTTGCCTAAAACTTGTCAAATACCCTATGGAACGTTTTAGAAGGTTTGCTATGATTTAACAAGATGGCGTTGCCATCAATATGAGGCGCTTATCCAAATTTTTAAAGGTATCGATACTTGCCAAAAAATACTCATTTAGTAAAAGTATCGAATACAAAGTAACGAGTACAAAAGTATCGGTATCGAAAGGAAAAGTACTCGATACCACAAAGTATCGATACTTTTTTCGTGTCCCTAAAAATAAGGTACTCTGTGCTGTCTGCGGCACACTGCGGAGCGTAGAGTTATGAGTTTAATTAAAGTAGTGTTCAAGTTAAATTAATTAACATTTACATTAAAACAGAATTAAAAACATTCATTATTTGTTGAGAGTGTTTAATGGTTTTATATTATGATATAAAGGGACAAACATAACCTCAAAATAGCTCATACCAGTAAAATCTAAAAATGCGACTAAATATTCGTTTGTTATCCTCGGCCGTACAAAGAAGACCATTTTATATAACCACCCCTATATTCTACGTGAATGCGGGTAAGTATTTCGTCAATACACTCTAAAATTACTGAATATGTTTGTTTACATTTTTTGTTTACTGTAGATAAAATTTTGTCTCTATTTTTAGCGCTCTCGCATTAATAATAAGAAAACAACAGTTGATAACATGACAGTGTTACCTAATTAAAGAAGTGTTGTGGGCAATGTGAAAATTTTTTAAGCAATATTCAATATCTTAATCTCTTAAACCTAATTTCAGCACCGCATTTAGGTCATCTCTATACGGCGGTTGTGGCTGATGCTATTCAGAGGTTTGAGAAGCTAACCAACCCAGATTGCAATGTTATATTTAGCACAGGTACATTTTGTTATCCATTTATCTATTATTCTGTTTTATTAATCTAACCAATGAAATAGGAAAAAATTCTATTTTTGTATTGCAGGCACAGATGAACATGGAATCAAGATCCAGCAGGCAGCTACCAAAGCTAACCTCCCATTACCAGAATACTGTATGAAAGTGTCAGAGGAATACCGGAAACTGTTCAAAGACTTTAATGTTGACTTTACAGACTTTGTACGCACCACTGATGAGAAACATAAAGTTGCTGTGAGGCATTTCTGGGTAATCACTGACAAAATAAATACCCAATAAATTGTTAATTTTTCTACCACCTTATAAAAATTGTAACTAAAACCTCATACAAGAGATCACAGCACCTTTTAAGAACATTGTTACTCAGATAAAATAAAATTTAGGTTTAGGTTTTGAACTGCATGACAGATGTTTTAAAATAGAAAATCTGAAAATCATCAACAGTCTTCACAAAGTTATAAGGTTGTAAACAAGATCTCAAGCATGAATTTTTGACAGCTGCATAAAGTATTGTAATCTTCAATTTTGTACTGAAAAAGCTAGTTTATTCTTATAAGCAATAGGGAGACTGCTTAGTTAAACTTTGATGATGCAATACTTTACAGAGCTGTAAAAAAATTCATGCTTGGGCCTCAGATCTGGTATGATAATAATTGTTTTTTTATGACTTTTGTTTTAGAAAAGATTAGTCAAAAAGGATTATGTTTATAAAGCAAAGTACTCAGGCTGGTACAGTGTAAATGATGAGTCATTTGTACCAGAAACGCACACCAAAGATGAAGTCATTAATGGGGAAAAAGTAAGTAAGAACATTATTTTTGGCTAGTTATATAAATCATTTCTGATTGATTTGAGTAACATGTACATTACTATTAAATATTATTTTGTGTTTGCCCACATAGCAAGGCGGCCTCAGGGTTTTTAGTAAAATCTCTTTTAAAAGTTTTGAGATTACTCAAGAATAATGTTAATAATTATCTATAATTACTGTTTTATTCTAGGTCAAAGTATCACTTGAGTCAGGTCACAGAGTGGAGTGGACTGAAGAAACAAATTATATGTTTAGATTGAGTGCTTTCAAAACACATCTGTTGGACTGGCTGAAAACAGGTAAGGAAGTCCTACTGATGCCAACATTGATATTTGTATGCTATAGAAATAGTCCTTATGTTGGTGTAGGAATAAGAAAATGAAAACAAAATTACCCACAAGTTTTTATAAAAGACTGGGCATTAGGGTCATAAATATAAACTGTGGAGTATTTATAGACTGGTTTGAAATTTCATATATGCAGTACATTCCACTCCAACCAAGTTAAAAATCTAAACAAATTGAATACCTAGACAAAATCTATACAGAACTATTTTCATTGTGAGTGTAATTTTACTTTTGCTAACACAACTATATTGTCCAGATCAAGACCAAAAATGACCTATTATACTTTTCGGAAGAAGAAAAAAGGGAATTTGCAGGATCAATTGCCATTTTCGTGATTGGAAGGTTTAATAAGTTTGGCCACATTTTAGATGGAGTGATCACCCCACAGAAATATCAGAAGCAATTGATGGAATGGCTGGATAGTGAAGTTTATATCCCTGATATATCAGTGAGCAGGCCGTCCTCCAGGGTGCACTGGGCAATCAGAGTAAGTTAGGATTCAAACAAATAGATAAATATGAGGCTATAATCTCTACAATATTTTTTTAATATATGTGAACTTCACCAGTTTTTCTCAAAACATCTTCCAAATTGTGGTAGTTTATAAGAGTTGATGTGAAACAAATAAAAGAAAACACAAATTTAGATTAAATAGTTTATAATTTAAGACATATTTAATAAAAACTTTCTTTTCTTTGATAAATAACTAGTCAATTAAAGTTAGCAAATAACGCTTTGTACACATTCAGCGAAGTCAGCAAATTTTAATTTTTAATACCCATACTCGGACATCAATTTACTTTTAAGTTTAATTTAAAACAGTTCTGTCAGTTTCTTTGCAAGGACATTAGAATAGGACAACATGTGACTTTAAATGACACTTAATTTTACGTCCGTGTTTATGGTTCTTTTTGATGTTTTAAGAGAGGTAGGGCGGATTTTTTTTTTGGCGGATTTTCCGCTTAAACTGGAGCGCCTGTCTGGGGAAGTAATCTCCACCTTATAGAAGATCACAGTAAGATAACACTACCTTTTGGTGGTTTTGTATTTCTGTCGGTGATTGGTTCAGGGTAGGCAACGGTGCGACTGATATTTTTGGTATCGCAAGTGTCTAAAGGCTATGGTGGCTTATCATCAGGCGGGCTATACGCTCGTTAGGTGGCAAAAAAACTTTTTAACATAAAAATATATGTGATAATATTGATAGGTTCCAGGTGATGAAGATCAGAGTATATACGTTTGGGTGGACGCTCTAGTGAACTATTTGACCGCCGTGGGGTACCCTGATGAAGACCAAATGATCGCCAGACACCGACCCTGGCCCGCCGATGTACAAGTCGTTGGGAAGGATATACTCAAGTGAGTATAGGTTAGGGCTTTATAGGACACTTACACCAAAGTTCTTTAATCAAATTGAGCCTTAATCCTATTCGTCTTTTTATTTTTTTTAATTGAAGTAAAGATAAAAAGAGGTTTGAATAAACAAGATCCCCCATAATCATTTGTTTCGGACCATTATTAATCTATGACTTTCAGAAACAACATGCTTAAGGGCCTTAACATACTGACGAATTGCGAGTTTTAAAGCTAACAGCAGTTTCCTCCTCGGAATCTATTATGTTACTGAGTGTATCGTACGCAGCGCTCAGAGGCCCGAGCACAAATTTTGACAGCTCCTTAATTGAGAACTAAGCAGCACCCCTACCCGACGTATGAACAATCTGGCTCCTTACAAACAAATATGACGATAACGATACGTTAAGGGAAACGTTGCGTGTGCGCGACGTTTCCCTTACACTAACTTACTCCCTTAAAATAGTCACTGTGCGTCACAGTCCGGAATTTTATTGAAAAAATATTGATGGAAAAAATTTAAAAGTAATAGAATTTATATAAAAAAAAGCCTTTTTTGAATTATGTACCTACATACATATTCCCTTTTGTATGTTACATGCTGAACGAACTTACTTCTGTTTGACAAAAGGATATTTATTTTTCTTATTGTAGATTCCACGGTATATACTGGCCGGCGTTGCTAATGGCAGCCCGCTGGCCTCCCCCTCGAAGGATATTGTGCCACGCGCACTGGACAGTGGAAGGAAGTAAGATGTCCAAGTCTCTCCAGAACGTGGTGGATCCGCGTTCGGTTCCCGTCCCACACGCTGCCTTGAGATACCTTTTGTTGAGGGAAGCGACCATGGCTACTGATGCTAGTGAGTAGCTGTTTCGACATTATTTAACTTCTTCTTACAGCAAAGCGAAGGATACGAAGATCATCTATAAATACAATTAATAACCTTAAAGTTAGGTTACCAATTGTGTTTTATTTTTTTGAGCACCAATTACTATTTTTTGCTGATCTTTTAAATATGTGGCTTTTTTTAATGTTTAAAAAAGGCTTCAAGCCCGATACGCCTATATGTAGTAGCTAGCGAGACATCATCAAGTAATGTTGTAAATATTTTATCTTTATACTAATATACATCTTAAATGTATGACCATTTGTTTTTAGTAAATAAATATATACATGGATAGATTTATTTATGCCTACAGGTTGAATGGCAGTGAATGCTTTTAGCGTTAAGTCCGTCTTTTATCCATTTGTATAATAGTGGCAATAAAATTTAAATAAATACAATACATTATAGTAATATAAGTTATTTACGGGATTGTTACCTTGTATCGCTAAAAACAATTCCGATATTAGTGACCATGAAAGTTAAAAACAATATATACACAATACATATTTATTATCCACACTACCCAGATTACAGCGAGACTAAACTGATAAACGTTAGCAACTCGGAATTGGCCGACACGCTGGGCAACCTCGTCAGTCGATGCTGCGGCACCGCTTTGAATCCGCGCGGGGAATTCCCGCCGCTGCACGCCAAGGAATTGGCGGCGTACAGCCAGGCTGATGTCACTGCTAACCTGATGGACAGCGTGGAAAGACTGGCTGGTAAGATAAAACACATGATATAGATCGAAATTTAGGTCATACCTAGGGTTACCACCTTTTTTGTCTAAATAAAGTACTTTGGAATTTAAAGTAGAAAAAAAGTACATTGTGCCCTAAATAAAGTACTCCACTTTATTAATCAGCTTAAAAATATATTTTACGTTGCTTGTAGCAACTTTTAATAAAATAAATTGTGTCTACTAATAATCTGTAGTTCTTATCCGCAGCAGGAAAGGCCTTGGTAGAAAGCTATACAACCACGACAATGCTGCAGGAATGAGCTAAGGGCGACATATTATACATACTGTCGTTCTATTTTACGCAAAAAATCTTCCTGTCAACCTGTTTTTGTATTTGAGCCGATGACTCCATTTATCTAGCCCATATTCTCTAATTTTGACTCGTTCCTCAAAAACATTTATAAATTTAGCATTAATGTGACTATCTCTTTCGGAAATTTTAAATAAACGGTATCGATTTTACTCCTGTAAATTATATAAATACACACCCTTTCCACAGATATTTGTCACGAACACTACACCAACTACCAGTTCTACAAAGCCGTTGACGCCGTTATCCACACTTTACACCTAGCTAACCTGTTCTTCGAAACGCATAGACCCTGGGAACTGCGGAAGAAGGTGGAACACCAGAAACAACTGGATGTAATCCTTCACATCACGATGGAAACCCTGAGAATAAGCGCCATTATCCTACAACCGATCATACCAGATATGACTGAGAAACTACTCGATAAATTACAAATACCTAAAGATTGCAGGAACTGGCAACATTGCGAAAAACCTTCGTGGACGATAGGGGGCGCTATTTATGAAACTAAATACATACAAAGCGGGAAATTCGTGCTATTTCAAAGAGTTTATGTCGATAAGAAGAACCAAAAGAAGAAAGCTAGCGGGTAGCGGTAATATAGTAAAAGTTAATTATGAGGGTAGTTCTAAAAAATGGCACTTGTATAGATTTATAATCAAGGAGAAATGGATGATATCTCATAAACTGTGTTATTGTGTATTTACTTTTGTTACCTTTTGTTTTGTTATATGCATATAATGCATTCATTAAATAATTTGTACAACGTTTTTCGAAAGTAGAATTAATAAAAGAACAAATTGTTATTGCTTGTTTTTCACTATTAACTAAATTAGATTTTATTTAAAAAAAAAGAAATCAAATATAAGACCAAGTTATTTGCACCAGGAGAAGCTTTCATATCAAATCTCAAAATTTGTTTTGATATATTGCCCGTTAATATTCTCGTAAATACATTAACCAATTGAAGATGTCTAAATTTTTTGGATTTTACACGCAACCGAGTATGATAATTAAAGGCACATTTAAACAACTTGACTTGGCCGCATGGCTAAGGGCTCCTCTTAAAATCGATAATAATCGAATTTGTCTTCGTCGCGTCTCGGCCCCTTATCAGGCAGAATCTTGTTGCTCCTCATTTGCCATAAAACACTTGGCATAATTGTTTCTTAGGTTTTCACGTACATGACTCATTAAATAAAACAAGCTTAACGGTATAGATGCACGTATTTATTTGTTTTTCAACGTTTCGCATCATTTTCAGGCTGCCTCGTCAGAATTGAAATATAATACAGTGCAACCTCGATATAGTTATATCGGAAGGGAACAAGTAAAAATTCGTTATATCGAGTAATTCTTTAAACTGAGGTTTGTTATTGAGGTTAGGTTGTCTAAAATTTGTTATAGAGGTAAAAAAATAGTTTCCTGGTGTGACATTAATCATGTACTATGATGGGATTAAGGGCCATATATTGATGGGAACGTTATATAGAGGTTTTTGGGTGACAAAATTCGTTAATTAGAGGTATTTACTCTTTTTTTAATAGTTGAAAATGTGGTATATAATGGTCGTTCGCAATGTAAAGGTATATTTTAGATTGTCTCTTATGGAAAATTCCAAGGGGATTTGAAGAATTTGTTAAATCAAGGAAGTCGTTATATTGAGGTACGTTATACAGGGTGGCCGGGGAGTTGACGGCGAAGCGTAAAATTTAGATACCTTATGATGAGGAGTATCCAAATCACCCCCATGTATGTTCTACGATTTTGCGTAGTTTTCGAGTTATAATATTTTTAATGATTTTTTCGTATTTTTCACCTAACATCAGTTTTCGATTTTTTTCTCATTCTGTTGGACGTTTCTGGTTCAGTTTTTTGTGATAATTGACTAACATAGTCTAACCTAGCACCCTAAAACTTATGGTTTATCTAGGCATTGCAGAATTTACTTAGAATTTGTTCGAAAGTTCAAAATTACGATTTGAGCTCAGTACACACAAATTTTCAAAGTATCAAAAAAAAGGTAAATGGGGTGATTTGTAGTTCAAAGTGCTTTTAGAAACTTCCTGAGACATTAAATTTCAAAACAAGGCCAAATAAAGATAGGGTTATGGGGGGTTTATTTTCTGTAACTGACCTTCAAAGTAAATTAAGGCATTTTCAAAGGAAAAAAATAATTATTTTATTTAAATCTTTGACTTTCTATGAGTTATGATGGATTTGAGTAAAATGCAGTTAATTGTTAACAAAATACATTTATTTAAAGCAAATATTCAAAATTTCGCCCTCCCACAGAAATACGCAATCTACATCTGCGCAAAAAATATGTTTTAGGTGCCTAAAAGCTTCACGGTTATTTTTCACAGTGGTTTCAGCTTCGCGAATTTTTGCTCTCAGTTCTTCTTCACTCGAAACTTCTCTGGCGTACGCAATTTCTTTAAAGTAGCCCCAGATAAAAAATCAATAGGGTTGAGGTCAGGCGAGCGTGGTGGCCAGGCAATTTGTGTGTACTAAGCTCAAATCGTAATTTTGAACTTTCGAACAAATTATAAGTGAATTCTGCAATGCCTAGATAAACCATAAGTTTTAGGGTGCTAGGTTAGACTATGTTAGTCAATTATCACAAAAAAACTGAACCAGAAACGTCCAACAGAATGAGAAAAAAATCGAAAACTGATGTTAGGTGAAAATTACGAAAAAAATCGTTAAAAATATTATAACTCGAAAACTACGCAAAATCGTAGAACATACATGGGGGTGATTTGGATACTCCTCATCATAAGGTATCTAAATTTTACGCTTGAACGTCAACTCCCCGGCCACCCTGTGTATATGTATATATATATATATATTTCTGACGACACAGCCTGAAAAGCGAATAGTTAAAAACAAATAAATTTGTGCATCTATACCGTTGAAACTTGTTTTTTACTTGGCATAATCTTCTTTAAACGAATATTTTAAGGCATTATTTTTTATTAAGTATAATTTTATTAAGTGGTCCAATGTTTATATGTCCGAATTCACAAATCATACTTTTAAGATGGCAAAATTTTACTAAGCATATTTTTTACTATTGGCAAAACTTTATTCTGCATAATTTCGTAATTCTAAGCATAATCGGTATTTGTTGTCAGTGGGTTAGGTTAGTGTTTTGACCTTATCTTAGTAGTCCAGTCGGAATAAACATGAGACCTATTCTAAGACACCAGCGCTTAGCCAATTTTTTCCTAGATAGTATAGACCCCCACGAATATGCCCTCCATTTGTCCCCGCTGGAACCCGTGTTTTGTAGCCAGGAAAATTGTTTAAACAAAAAAAAAACCGTTTTTTTTTGATATTACGTCCGTCTTTTTTTCAGGTCCGTGGTTACAACTAGGAAATTTTGAAAAAAAAAACGAGTTATTTTAGATAACCGTCGAAAGGGTTAATCATAAGGATTATTTTTTGCTAAAAATCATTGCATGTATTTTAAATGAAAGAAAAGTAACATTTCAAAAATCGGATACGCCTCAAAGTAAAAATGTTGAGTTCATTATCGTTGACGTTTATCATCCGCTGCTGTGGTTTCTGTAAGCGCATATCGAAACGTCCTAATTTCTTAAAGTATCCACTAACCTTTTAAACACACATCCAGAAGGTACGTCTCTAGCAGGATATCTTTCGCGGTACCATCACTAAGCTAATATGTCTTTGTGGTTCATAAAGTAAGCTACCATGAAATCCATTTTATTTCGATACGCCATGGTAAGTAAATTAACAAAAAAAATGCAAATAAACGAAAATTAAACTCACAAAAAACAAAAGAACAGCCGCTTGAAAATTTAGGTGTTCCATTTTCGAGTTATTATTTTATAAATTTCAGCAAAACGCATTTTAACTGTGAGTTCAAAAGAAATGCATACGTACTTCAGATTGTATATCACTTTCTTATTTTTATCACGTAATAAGACATTCCTTTCATTTAAAATGCTATGTTATTTAGCAAAAAGTAATCCTTATGATTAACCCTTTCTATGGTTATCATAAAATATGTTGTTTTTTTTTGTTTAATTCCCAGTTGTAGCAGGCGATTTTAAAAAAAAATCTGTGTATTCAGTTCTAGTTATTATTAAAATTAAAACGATGTCTTCTTTCAGTAAAATATCCTATTTTCAATATTTAATATACTTTCTCTCCGTGTGAGGTAGCCGTGAGACGCCCTGTATAGTAAAGCTACTTTCTTTAATTACTTGTCAACTTTAAATATGGAGGACTTATCTACGGTGCAATTTAAGTGATGAATGTTTAAAATGACTATGGCTGTTGTTTCGCTAGTGTTTTTTATTTTTGAAATATTTTTTTTTGAGTCTTGAAACTATTGAGTTTTTTTTCCCAATGCCCTGAAAATATTATGTGAATAATCCATTTGTGTCATGTGTTGTACTACGTTCGTTGCTGTGCCAACCCCGAAAAGAATGTAATTTATTGTACACTGCCAAATAATTAACCCTTTGCAGTCCCTAGTTCCATCATTTTATTATGGAAGTTTTGTAGTCTAATGGGTCATTGGGCTAAATACATCGGATAAAACCTGGTACCGCAAGCCCCTAGAAACTACAGCATAAAGTAATATTGATTCACAAAGTACATAACCGCCGCGCCCAAGCAATCAGTTCAAAACAAAGCATCATTTCTGTGGCGCACATATTGATACAAATTTATCTTCGACTAGCGACACGTGTCCTCGAAGTCAATAGCTGTAAATTAAGATCGAAAACCGTCCTTCTGGCTTCTTTCTATTGTATGGATTAGTGTTATAACATGGATTATCGAGGAAACTCGGTTGTGTAGATAGGGCAACGATGAGGTGAGTTGCGGAGCAATGAATTCATCCCCGTGCCACGTGCCTTCCAGTGAAGCATGCACGGTCAGTCACTGCGCCCAGAGACATAGGCGAGATTCTTCGACCAAGACTACAGAGTAATTATTTTCTCTATACTCAGATTAAATATAAATGGGAAGATATGGTACCATCCTTAATCGGTGCGGCATGCGTGTCGTATTTATCCATGCAATACAATGGCCTCCTCCATTCTCAAATAAGGCCTTCCCCCATGGGCGCGTTCTTGTCGGTCGACAATATCGGATGCGTTATTGCGATATCTGTATTTAGTATATTATGTAGTAGGCTACGAAGTACACTTTGGTGCATTAATAACAACGAAATAACGCATCCAATTTTATCGACCGTTAATAACACGCCTATGGGCAGCTTAAAGGTGCATACTCTACACACGCTTGGCAAACAGTGAACACAAACAACAAACGTGTAGAAGGCTGTTTGTCTGTTTTTGTTCGCCAGTGATCGGCGTAGTTTTCGGTTCTTTGCACAAATCAAAGGATGTTTGCCTAATCGGAATATAAGCAGCATGCTCGCCAAGCCTGGGAATGCGCGTTTGTGTTTGGTGATTGTGGTCGGTGTGTGGCATGACATGTGTTTGTTTGCAGTAAACAAAAAGAATGTGAAGGCGCCTTTAGGCTGCGTTTCCACATAAGCAGAGCTGAACAGGATCTTAAAAAATACCTGAGGCATTGTTCAAAAAACACATCTCTGCATCGCATTGCTTTAATAATAACAGTATCAACGGAGTTGAAAAGAATAACATTGAAATGTATAGCGCGCAGAGTTAAGCTGGACAGAGCGGAGCGTTGTCATGCTGAGCGAGGCAAAGCGGTGCGCGGCGTTAGGCGGAATTAAGATCAGTGTAGCTGTGCGAGGTGGAGCAGAGCGGGATGTTCTTTTTGTTTAACAGCCACATTATTTTATTAAATTGTTTTACTGACTGCAAATAAAATGTATTCACCAGCTCATATTCATTCGG